GACTCTAGAAGCACTTCGAGAGGAGTTGGTGGTTGCCTGGACTGAGATACCACAGGAGGACATTGACCACATGATCAGAAGCATGCCTAGGCGCGTTGGAGAATGCGTAGCACATCAGAGTGCATCCACACATTATTAAAGTTCAAAGGGCTTTAAAGCAGTGCAATCATTTTGAAATCTTTATTCTTTACTTATTATGCTTCATTAAGTACTTATACAAAATTTTATTAAATAAAACCATTTAAACTGGGTGTTCGGATTTATATGTCACTTAGTATACACGCATTTTATTTCTTTACCTGCTGATCTTAGTAGCAATATTAACCATAAAAGAGCTAACTACAGGTTTTGAAGTAACTTGAAATGCAAAAAAAGTTTTGTCCGGCTTTTTAATTCAAATACCCGTATGTTCGCCATGACATAACCGCATGGTTAAATAATCGTTTTAGACAACGTTAGATTTGGGGAAACGGCCCGGTACACTCGTCTGCGAGGTCTCCTGATTTGAACCCCCTGGATTTTTTTTTGTGAGGCGCTTTTAAAAACCTAGTGTATGCTGAACTAATCAATACTGTTGATCGGTTACAAGGAAGAATAGATAATGGGTCTCATCAAATTAAAGCCACAAAAAATTTTTGCGAAAATACGTTTTTCTTTGTTAAAAGGATGCCGTACCTGTGTCGGTCAGAATGGTGGCCTTTTTGAACATTTATTGAAATAAAGCTTTGATTATCTAATTTGTTTTTTTTTATTTTTACGAAAACACGAGACCAATTATTCGTAGGTACAATTAGAAAAACTGCGAAACATCAGTGACGAACTATTTTTATTTGGAAAAATAATTCCACTGATCCCCTGAATCTCCGCCACTGGTGCACGTTAGTTTTAAGTAAATACTTTTGAATGTGGACAATACTTAGGTAAATCCACATACCAAACCTTAGTTCATTCCAGTTGATGGTTTTGAAGATATTGAAAAAAATGTTTTTTATTTTTTCCCTCGAGGGAGAAACGTTACATAGAAGACCCCCCTTAAAATGCGGACTTGTGAATCACCCTGTATATTCTATACAGTTTTGAGTTATCCGTTTTATAAGCTTCAGTTGGGCCTAACTTTCTTTGTGGGTTTAAATACTGAATTTTTTAACTATTTGATTTTTTTTTGGATGTGACATAATTTCAACGAAGGCTGTCGGGAAATTTTCGACACTATCTTTCCCAGATTTGAAATCAGGCAAGATCAGCGTCCGGAATGCGGTCAGCACGCGATTTTATTTTTGTAAAGCTCTGCGGAGAAATCTTACAACTGTAGACAATCAGCGTGGGCGAGGCATCCCACTAGCCTGTTATACAAACGGCTTCATAATGTATGTATGGAAAAAGATGAATTACATGTCGCAAAAAAGGATTAGTTCTCCTTGAACCCAAGATTACCATAAGCGTCTGTATGCTAATGCGCTCTGCTCGTTCTTTGTATTGTGTATGAAGAAACTCTTGGAACATGTACGAGAGATTAATTTGAAGATCAATCAATTTCAATATATGGTCCTCGTGGCAGTCTTGGTGTACGTTAGGTAATTCGGGGCGCTGAACTGGAGTATCGCCTCCAAGTGTCGCGGAGTTCGATGAACATATTACTAGAGATCAACGTTTTCAATCGTAAATTCGTTTTTTCAAATAAAAAATTCCTTGTAGCTAAAAACCTTATTTTTGGGACAACCCTCGTATGTACTTTAACTAGAATTCTGTTGAAATATATACAATGAAAATTAGGGAGGTCATAAAGGCGTCCTACAATTGCAGGCACGACTGACTTAAGAGATGAAGCATTTAAACACCAATTTCCTAATCATTTTTTATATATATTGTATTCAATGTGTGTGTGTGTGTGCCTAGTGTTGATATGTATTGGTGTTTACTGATTTTCTACCTTGCAATTACTAGTCCACGAATCCGTAATTTTCCTTGAAGTATAATAAACACAACTTCATTATAAACCGATACGCACGCATGTGTTCGTGTTTTTCACCTTGGCGGTTTCGCTGCGAGATTTTTTTGCATTTATTACAAGTGAAGAGAGCGTGGATCGCCTAGCGATGAAGATCCTGTGCGGTAAATATGTCTGCCTTATTAATTGTTGTTTTTCGTTCAACAATGACACGGATGTTTTGAATAACAAACGATCAGACAGATAAGTCGACAAAGGTGTGGCTGAATATGTATCGAAAAAATGCCGTCAAGTAGGTTGACTCTGCAATGTGTGATACCCTGTTCTACGCCCTACAACCCCCAGTCCCCGATTTTTAGCTCCTACAAAAAAAAAGGCGTCCTTGAAGATCTCAAAGACCTCAATTCCAAAAAGTTTTCATGAAGAATTAGGAGTAAGAAAATTAGTTTGTTGGATACCCCACCTGTTGACTGAAGAGCAGAAAGCAGCCAGGGTTAATTGGTGTCAAAAAACGCTTGAAATTCTGGAAACTCAAAAAATGTGTACAGTATTGTTTAAATATTTATTCACCTTTTGACGTATCTACGATATCCAGAAGGAAGGCAATCTGGCCTTTTAATTTTCTGCAAAAATCGATTAATACTAGTCGACCAACTAGATGGCCTCTACGGTCGCCCGACTTATCCGTTCTTGTTTTTTTCTGTGGGGCTATTTGAAGAATAAAATTTATAATACCCTTCATCGGACATTAGATGAACTACGTAATGTTACGAATGCCGCATTTCAAAACTTGCATTCCATAATTGTTTTAAATGCTACCACCCTATGTCTACGTTGCGTTCGGGGAAATGTTTGAGCGGTTCCTTTGATGTAAAAGTCTATCGAGGTTAATTTTATGTTAATATTAAAATGAAATATCACAGATACGAAGGGGCCTGTGAAAATATTGTTTGTACCGTGTGTCCTTTCACAAAAAAAGTAGCACAACATTCCGAAAACCGAAACTCTCTATCTTTACTCGTAAACGAGATACCCTGTAATATCATCGAAAATGGGACCCTGTACATATCATATAACATCCAAATAAACATAATATTTCGTTTTCAAAATTTTCTTCGTTTGTAGGCTTAAGAAGTATAAGCAAGCAGCATTATGAATAAAAAAAGAAGAGGTGTTTCTATGAATTATGTATACTAAGTGACATATAAATCCGAACACCCAGTTTAAATGGTTTTATTTTAATAAAATTTTTTATAAGTACTTAATGAAGCATAATAAGTAAATGATAAAAATTTCAAAATGATTGCACTGCTTTAAAGCCCTTTGACCTTTAATAATGTGTGGATGCACCCTGATGTGCTACGCATTCTCCAACGCGCCTAGGCATGCTTCTGATCAGGTGGTCAATGTCCTCCTGTGGTATCTCATTCCAGGCAACCACCAACTCCTCTCGAAGTGCTTCTAGAGTCTGAGGAGGACGTTGCAAATTGAGCAATCTCCTACCCATCATATCCCACACGTGCTCAATTGGGGATAAGTCGGGAGATCTTGGTGGCCATGGTAACAATGTGACATCATTATGTTGAAAGAAGTCTATTGTGACTCTTGCAACATGTGGTCGGGCATTATCTTGTTGGAAAGTTGGATCTTGCCAGGGTGTCAAGATAGGTTAAAAGATGGGGTTCTAGAACTTCGTGGATATAACGCTGCGCGTTCATGTTACCTCTGGTGACCTGGAACCATAAGCTATAGCACGACAAACCATAACTCCAACAGTGTGATGAACATGTCTTTCAACAAAAAACTGTGGATTCCTCCTTTCACCACGTCGCCTTCTAACCCTGGCACGACCATCGTGCATGCCTGAACAAAATCGAGACTCGTCACTAAAGACAATACTGTTCCATTCCTGATCCCAGAGTGACCGTTGTCTGCACCACTCAAGGCGATTACGTCGGTGTTCTCGAGTTAAAGGGAGGACCCAGTGTGGCCGGTATGAAAACAAGCCAAAACTTCTCATTCTTCGGTAAACACTTCGCATGCCAATATGTCTTCCGTGTTCTGCAAACCATTCATTTGCAATGGACCTGGTAGTGGAGAAACGGTCCCTTAAGGTCAATAATCTTAGGCGGCGATCTTCACGGTGTGTTGTTCTACGGCGGCGTCCAGTGCCCCTTGCTCTTTGCGTACGGCCTTCTCGAACCCATGCCTGACAACACCTAACCACAGTGTCTACACTTCTTTGCACTCTAACTGCAATTGCCCGAAAAGAAAGTCCAGCTTCCCGAAGTCTAAGTTGACGAAATCGTACAGGTCTCCGTACTCTAGGCATCGTAACCGATCGTAAAGGATGTCAAGAACCAAAATCCGCCAACGTTGATTCTTTATTGCGGCTGAAATATTCATTTTTTGAGCGTTAGTGAATTAAAAAAAAGCAGTATAAAAACCGGAATGTCCAATTGATAAGGCTGAAAATTTTTTCACTTGTTATTTACAGTAAGATAAATACATTCACCAACTTTTATTAAAATAAAACCATTTAAACTGTGTGTTCGGATTTATATGTCACTTAGTATAAATCTTAACCGTACTTTATATATAATGTCATGTCTCTCTAGATAAACGAAAGCACATAATGTGTTAAAGCTACTTTTTAATGACATTTCGACACCGAGGTGGCGTTTTTTCAAAGTACAGATCAATGACAATTTTGGATCAAAACAAACCGCTTGCTAGCTCTCATTTTTCGATTTTTCTGTCTACTTCGAATTTGTTGTCGACTGATCAAAGGTTAAAACACCGTCTGACCTCGACACCCACGCTTCCTCTTACCTCCTAAAACACGTAGCGTCTCCTTGTATACAGCTTTTCAATCTCAAGCATAATCCATTAAAAAGCACTCTACTGAGTTTCGCGCAGCATCTCCCGTTAAAATCACCAGAACATCACAGGTCACAGATTAAAGGGCGCATCCACCCAATTTACAATTCACTCGTTTTTCCGGGATTCACACGACGTCTTCCGAGCCCTTAAGGTGGAACTTACGTTCGATGTAGTACTAAAAAATCAAAGAGCACCAGGCAAGAACACTCGGTTTTTTAGGAGTCACCCTTAACGTAGTACCCACTTGGTACCACCTACAACTGACGTTCACCACTAACAGATCACAAAGACAAGGACGCAGTACTGATGCACCGAAATTCTCACGTATGTTGTAGTACTTAAGGTCGTACTTAGTCCCGGTACGACGTACGATAGATGTTGCCTCTCATCACTAGCAAATTACGGATAACGACGACAATTTTCCGGGACGTATGCACCAGGATTTTCTCGTATTTTTAAGGTGGTTCTTACTTGGTACAACCTGCAGTACGACTTGTATCCAATGTCGCCTCCCACAACTAGCACATCACAAACTACCAGGGAGCTTGCATCGACGATTTTCCAGGGCGCTTGCAGCAGGATTCTCTTGCATTTAAAGTGGTTCCTATTTGGTATAACCTGCAGTACTACTTGTGTTCGATATTGCTTCCCACCACTAGCAGACCACAGAAATCAAGGGAGCTTGCATCCACGACTTTCCTGGACCTATGCACCAGGATTCTCGCGTCCTTAAGGTGGTTCTTACTTGGTACAACCTGCAGTACGACTTGTATCCAATGTTGCCTCCCACATCTAGCAGATCACAGACTACAAGGGAGCTTGCATCGACGATTTTTCAGGGCGCCGATTCTCATGTCCTTAAGGTGGTTCCTACTTGGTACAACCTGCAGTACGACTTGTGTCCGATATTGCTTCCCACCACTAGCAGACCACAGATATCAATGGAGCATGCATCGACAACTTTCCTGGACCTATGCACCAGGATTCTCGCGTCCTTAAGGTGGTTCCTACTTGGTACAAGCTGCAGTACGACTTGTATCGAACAGCAGATCGCAGACTACAAGGGAGCTTGCATCGACGATCTTCCAGGGCGCTTGCAGCAGGATTTTCTTGTCCTTAAGGTGATTCCTGCTTGATACGACCTGCAGTACGACTCGGGTCCGACGTTGCCTCCCACCACCAGTAGATCACAGTTTACAGGTCACGAGGGCGCATGCACCGAGGGTTATCTGGGAAGTACGCGCCCGTATCCTCGCGCCCTTAAGGTGGTACTTAGTACGGGTACGACCTACCGACGTTGCCTCGTTGGCACGGAGATGAAAATCGCGTAGCGGCAACGCGAAAGTACCGCGCATACTGCTGTGGCCGACATTTTCGTGCGAGCTGCGGACGGCAGATAGTCGGGCGACGTTGCCACGTTTATAAGCTGACCGACACACACTGGTCCATTTATTCGAAGACAATGAAGGTATTAGAAAAAAGCAAAGTAATCGGTAAAGGATGAAAACCTCGTTCGCGGCTGCTACGAGGATCCCAAAGAAACTTTATTAATCCGATTTTTGAACTGGTTGAAAGGTAAGGAAAACTGGCTTTTCACTCTGTCACTAGATCCTTTTTTTGGGATGGGTTGGACATCAGACACATGTCCAATATGACCGCAGGAATCAAGTCCGGGCCACGAGCTGAAACTTATCTTCCGCATAGTGTAGGAAAACCTTTGTATCGAGGGCACTCGATCGTTGGGGGGACGTTCAATTAATTCGTTGAACAGTAAGTTGGCCATGGAAACAGAAGTTTGCTTCGTATGTCACACCAGTGGCGTATACAAGCCCGCTCCGATCACCCCCCTAATGGTACAAAACACGGACCAAATTTTAGGTTTGAGAATTACGATGTTTTGGAACTGAAGGCTACCTACCCTTGGGCTTAGCATTATAATATTGAAGAAAATGTATCGGAAAGAAATGAAGGCAACTGGAAGCCTAGGTCCAAAAAGTTACCCCGAAGCGCCTTTCTAGATTATACAGGGTGTTTCAGTTTATTGTTGCATAACTAAGATTCGATAGAACTTTTAAAATTAATGCATAAAGTCTATATAAACATGGGTCGAAAAATGCGTGGCTTCCGAAATACAGGGTGTTTAAATTTACTTTCTAAAATAGTTTTTTTTTAATATTTCGAACAATATTTGATGTATAACAGTGAAAATTGGTATACAGGGGTTTTTTGATACGACAAAATGCATCGAACCTTAAAAATCGAAATATCTCAAAAACGGCTAACTATAACGAAAATTCACAACACAGCTTTTTTATGTTGAAAGTGCGAAAAATCAGTTTTTTTATTCAAAAAGCAACAAATTGCACTAAGAAATTTTTTTCGGTCATTTTAATGCACTACAGGTACAGTAGAGAGCGCCCTCTAGCGGCTACAGTAAAACTATGCCCATGGTTCGTTTTGTCGTAACAAAAAACCCTTGTATACCAATTTTCACTGTTATACATCAAATATTGTTCGAAAAATTTAAACTAACTATTTTAGAAAGTAAATTTAAACACCCTGTATTTCGGAAGCCACGCATTTTTCGACCCATGTTTATATAGACTTTATGCATTAATTTTAAAAGTTATGCAACAATAAACTGAAACACCCTGTATATCGAAACTGGCGGGAAATCCATAACTATATTATGTAACTGTGACTTTTTCAAGCTCGCAAATGGTAGACACCGTAACAAACAAAAAACTATTCAGTACGTATTTATTTTTATTTATTTACTGAAAGCCATCACCATGGAAATCAAGCATCACTGAAGGGCCACTGAAATCAACACTTTTATTGGGATCACATCATTAGCCATAATAGGAATATCTTTGGCTTTGTAATATCGTTATGTTCTTCCTTATGATTTATTTTTCGATTATTTCTTTGTCACTGAATTCCTGCATGTAGCGTGCTGTCACCAGAAAGTGATGACCTATACGAAAGTCGTTTCCTGGGCAGTCAGCCTGGCCAATCAAGCAGCGTTCTGCTAGGCTCAGCCAGGCTATCATGTTTTCCGTAATTCTCCGACATAATCAACAACTTGGCAACAGCCGGTTTTACCTTTCCGCTTACCTGCAACCATACAAGCGGACAGTGAGCTTCGAATTCAGACGAGGAACTGAGAAAATCTAATTAAAGGTTACGTAATGGACGAGGAGAAAAAGTGTAAAGGACATCGCTTGATTATATGCACGGCGAAATGGTAAATGATGGGGCATGGCAGACCGGGAAACTTTCGGCGCGTCCTTGCTTGTTTTGGAGCAAGTTTGGGTGTTTAGAAACATCAGAAAAAGCTGTCAGACAGTGTTGGCGACCTTTAGCTTGGGAAATGGAGATTAAAGGCGCTTCATTACAATGTTGTTGAGTGCAAATTGCAAATAGAGTGGTGATGATCCGGTAGCGATGCTCGGAAAATTCAACGGCAAATTCGGCACGCCAAAATATGATACAAGTTACCTGTCTCATGTTTAAATTTCATGAATTTTCAGCCTTATCAGTTGGACATTCCGGTTTTTATACTGATTTCTTTTTAATTCACTAACGCTCTAAAAATGTAATATTTCAGCCGCAGTAAAGAATCAACGTTGGCGGATTTTGGTTCTTGACATCCTTTACGATCGGTTACGATGCCTAGAGTACGGAGACCTGTACGATTTCGTCAACTTAGTGAGTTTGATAGGGCCGTATAGTGGGACTTCGGGAAGCTGGACTTTCTTTTCGGGCAATTGCAGTTAGAGTGCAAAGAAGTTTAGACACTGTGGTTAGGTGTTGTCAGGCATGGCTTCGAGAAGGCCGTACGCAAAGGGCAAGGGGCACTGGACGCCGCCGTGAAGATCGCCGCTTAAGATTATTGGCCTTAAGGGACCGTTTCTCCACTACCAGGTCCATTGCAAATGAATGGTTTGCAGAACACGGAATACCTATTGACATCCGAAGTGTTTACCGACGAATGAGAAATTTTGGCTTGTTTTCATACCGGCCACACTGGGTCCTCCCTTTAACTCGAGAACACCGACGTAATCGCCGTGCCAGGGTTAGAAGGCGACGTGGTGAAAGGAGGAATCCACAGTTTTTTTGTTGAAAGACATGTTCATCACACTGTTGGAGTTATGGTTTGGGGTGCTATAGCTTATGGTTCCAGGTCACCTGTAATCTTCATCAGAGGTAACATGAACGCGCAGCGTCATATTTACGAAGTTCTAGAACCCCATCTTTTACCCTATCTTGACACCCTGGCAGATCCAACTTTCCAACAAGATAATGCCCGACCACATGTTGCAAGAGTCACAATAGACTTCTTTCAACATAATGATGTCGCATTGTTACCATGGCCACCAAGATCTTCCGACTTATCCCCAATTGAGCACGTGTGGGATATGATGGGTAGGAGATTGCTCAATTTGCAACGTCCTCCTTAGACTCTAGAAGACTTCGAGAGGAGTTGGTGGTTACCTGGAATGAGATACCACAGGAGGACATTGACCACCTGATCAGAAGCATACCTAGGCGCATTTACTTATTATGCTTCATTAAGTACTTATACAAAATTTTATTAAAATAAAACCATTTAAACTGGGTGTTCGGATTTATATGTCACTTAGTATATTTGGACACCTGGAGTATCCATCATTGGATCGGTCATGATGGGCCTATATCTTGGCCTCCTAGATCACCGGATATGACACCGATGGACTTCTTTCTATGGGGCTACGTTAAGCAAGAGCTTTATAGGTATCCACCATCTACCCCGGAAAATATGAAGTAAATGATTAAGGATGTTTTTCTGAACATAAAGGAACACGCTGAGGGATGTGCAACAGTCATTTATCCAAAGACTACGGCTGTGTATTCAACTTGGTGGAGATATTTTCGAGCGGTTTTTGTAGATTAGGTCTTGAATAGTGATAGTTGTTTGTGTATGTTGTTGTTATAGTTGTTTTTCTCTATTTCGCTTGAAGCTGATTTATACGAGGGATGTCTTTTAAGTTTTGCATATGGAAACATAGTAGCCCGCCATAATTTATTACAACTTTCAGAGACAATTATCGCAACAAGAACGCCTCGCTGAGTTACTGTCTGTTTTCGGCAACGAAGCGCCACATCAGTCGACAATTTCCGGTTGGTATGGAGAATTCAAACGTGGATGGGTGAGTCTTAGCGACGATCCCAGGATGGGTGCAGAATACTTCGAAAAACAATAAATTCCTTTAAATGTACCCACCGTGCTGTTTTATTTCCATATGCAACACTTAAAAGACATCCCTCGTACTATTCTGATTGTTGTTAGTTTTTACGTCAAATCTGTACTCTTAGTGGCAATATGGAACTAGCCCACCGTTTGTCTTTTGTTTCCATGGATGAGGTGATTTTTCTCCTTAATTTTGTTCTGTTAAAAGCTTAATCACTCAAAAATCTAGTGATTTTATCTGAATCAAACCTTATACCAAAAACAATCTTATAAATCATTACATCCAAACTTGCACAAATATATGCATTTGAAATTTTTGATAAAAAGTACAATTCGCGTTTTTGACCACTCTGTATGAGCAAAAATGAAAATTCGAAAAAGTAACAGATAAGATAAAAGCTGGGGTGTGTAAGTTTTTTTTATACAAAATTAAGCGCTCCAAATTTCAAAATGGCGGATTGAGGGGTATGCAGTAGTACTCCTTCCCTTTGGTGCTACTCCGTTCTTTTTCATGGGATTCTAACCTCTTCATTCATCTCCAGAAGAAGTTTATAAATATCCTGCCACTAAAAAATTGCGATACTCCCTCTCCCGTCCCCTAAAGCCGCCGGTAGCATTGGAACTAAATGCATATTGGAAAAAATGAACCCGAGTAATTTTTAAAACAGCCCGTTCAATTTTTCCGACAATAAAGCCTATTCTCATACTCTTATACCAGTACGCAGAAACAACTGACATGCTATTTTTTCAGACAGTTGCCTAACGTTTTAATTAACAGAAATGCAAAGCTTTTACCTGGCATAACAATAGACACGTCCACTCACACATTAAGAGCTGCATATGTGGATAATACTGTTAAATTTCTGTTAATACGGACGTAGGTTGAATGGCCTGCGGGCTTTATTGTAAGGTTTCTCGTTGTGATATCGATGTTTCAATAGGATTAGGCCTAAATATAGGTTATCAGGAAAGAGTTAATTACCTCCTTAGAGAGAATTCAACAATTTGATTGAATCAGATTGAAAAACGCAATATTCCAAAACTTGATCATGGGCCACCTTTTAGAGTTCATCCATTTGAGCTCATTAATGGCCTTCGATGTATGGTGTATCTGAAGTCACTTGAAATAGCATAAAAACCTTTGGTCGGCGCGTCCTTTGTAATTTCATGACCTATCATAGGCGTGCGGCATTTATTTAGAACGATAAAAATAATGTTTTTATATCACAATAAATGGATTTTACTATCTTCTTATAAAGAGCCATATTTAGGACACACAAGAACAATCAACACAACACTTAAATCAACAAGTAAACTGAATATTCAAAAGTCAAAAACACACAAACTAATAAAATCTATGAAAAACACGGACAGACTAAAGAAAACACGTTTATTAACCGCTACACGGCACTGGCTAAACTGTTTCAATTTTCAGTAGCCACCTGCACTTGTTCGGAGCTCTGAAATACACGCTTTCTCATTGGCTATGTCCACGCATAGGCGTGCTTTACTCCACGTGGACCGGTGAAACTGCCTTTGATCTCTTATACGGGGGATGTTTGCTGCGAAATTTGGCGATTTTTGCAGCAACAGAGGGTGTTAAATATAGATATATAAAACGCACCCGGTATTTCACAGTGTTTCAAGTGACTTCAGATAAAGTATACTTGTTTAATCATATTCTCCGAGATCATTTACAAGTCTGCAACATGTATTCATAATATATATAATATCTAAAATCTAAATAAGGATAGTAAACCACAAGTAATATACTAAGTGACATATAAATCCGAACACCCAGTTTAAATGGTTTTATTTTAATAAAAGTTGGTGAATGTATTTATCTTACTGTAAATAACAAGTGAAAAAATGTTCAGCCTTATCAGTTGGACATTCCGGTTTTTATACTGCTTTTTTTTTAATTAATAATAATAATTAAAAATGAATATTTCAGTCGCAGTAAGGAATCAACGTTGGCGGATTTTGGTTCTTGACATCCTTTACGATCGGTTACGATGCCTAGAGTACGGAGACCTGTACGATTTCGTCAACTTAGTGAGTTTGATAGGGGCCGTATAGTGGGACTTCGGGAAGCTGGACTTTCTTTTCGGGCAATTGCAGTTAAAGTGCAAAGAAGTGTAGACACTGTGGTTAGGTGTTGTCAGGCATGGCTTCGAGAAGGCCGTACGCAAAGAGCAAGGGGCGCCGTAGAACAACAGACCGTGAAGATCGCTGCCTAAGATTATTGGCCTTAAGGGACCGTTTCTCCACTACCAGGTCCATTGCAAATGAATGGTTTGCAGAACACGGAAGACCTATTGGCATGCGAAGTGTTTACCGACGAATGAGAAGCTTTGGCGTGTTTTCATACCGGCCACACTGGGTTCTCCCTTTAACTCGAGAACACCGACGTAATCGCCTTAAGTGGTGCAGACAACGGTCACTCTGGGATCAGGAATGGAACAGTATTGTCTTTAGTGACGAGTCTCGATTTTGTTTAGGCATGCACGATGGTCGTGCCAGGGTTAGAAGGCGACGTGGTGAAAGGAGGAATCCACAGTTTTTTGTTGAAAGACATGTTCATCACACTGTTGGAGTTATGGTTTGGGGTGCTATAGCTTATGGTTCCAGGTCACCTTTAATCTTCATCAGAGGTAACATGAACGCGCAGCGTTATATCCACGAAGTTCTAGAACCCCATCTTTTACCCTGTCTTGACACCCTGGCAGATCCAACTTTCCAACAAGATAATGCCCGACCACATGTTGCAAGAGTCACATTAGACTTCTTTCAACATAATGATATCACATTGTTACCATGGCCACCAAGATCTCCCGACTTATCCCCAATTGAGCACGTGTGGGATATGATGGGTAGGAGATTGCTCAATTTGCAACGTCCTCCTCAGACTCTAGAAGCACTTCGAGAGGAGTTGGTGGTTGCCTGGAATGAGATACCACAGGAGGACATTAACCACCTGATCAGAAGCATGCCTAGGCGCGTTGGAGAATGCGTAGCACATCAGGGTGCATCCACACATTATTAAAGGTAAAATGGCTTTAAAGCAGTGCAATCATTTTGAAATTTTTATCATTTACTTATTATGCTTCATTGAGTACTTATACAAAATTTTATTAAAATAAAACCATTTAAACTGGGTGTTCGGATTTATATGCCACTTAGTATATGATATTTTTGAAAACAAGAAAGGTTTCTCGCAAATTTATGTAACATTGTTTTATTTGCAGATATAACTCTGGCAATAACGAGAAATTAGATACCTAGATTCTTCGAATGATCCACATATACTACTTTAATTACCTTCAAATTCATGTTCATGTCCTTCTTAAGGCACTCCTTTTTGTTTTATTTGCGTATATCAACATACTTGTCTTTGATATTGCCCCTTATTGAAAAGATACGAGTTAAAAAATGATACAAGATCATACGAGAGCCTAAAAAGGTCAGCTTCTTTAATAGGATGCCTAAATCTATTCTATCAATTGCCTTTTAATAATAATAATAATAATAATAACCGTCTTTATTATTGACATAAGACATTGACAAAATGGTAAGTGAACATAAGTACATCCAGTGTCAATTAAAGGCGAAGTTCAGTTTGATTAGTACACAGTACCAACAACCTGCTCTTCCACTTAGCCCAGTATCCTCTACGACATATGACATCCGATAAACCGATAATACATACATGTCACTATAAAAGAGGGACATACCTACACGCTAACAAAAAAAAAAACAATCATTCATTCATTCATGCGGTGCTACTGTTTTTTCAGCAGTTCCTTTTTAAACATGGCTTTGAAGTTATCTATTCTAGAAAATTTTAGTTCCTTCCGGACTGAGTTGTAGACTTTATATATTTGGTATGTGAAGCTCCGTTTGAAGATTGACGTTCTAAACTTGGGTGGCGAAATAAGACCCTTACTTCTTACGTTAATGTTATGAACGTCAGTCCGGTAGGTTATTTTTTGATAAAGATATTGTGGTGTTCTGACTAAAATTAATTTATGATAAAAAACAGCAGAATGGAGGAGCCTACGATTTTGCATATTTAACCAACCTGCATCTTTCAATTTGTGAGATATTCTATGTCTCCTCTGTATACCAAATGCAAGGCGCAAGCATGAGTTTTGAACCAGTTGAACTTTACGTCGATACAGGTTAGTTAAGTGTGGGCCGTAAAGCACATCAGCGTAGTTGAATAAAGATAATACTAAAGTATCACATAGCATGATCTTAAGTTTTAACGAGAGAAATTTCCGGCTACCGTAAATAAATTTCAACGACAAATATGCTCTCTGCATAATTTTGTTGATGTGATACTCAAATCGAAGATTACTATCAATCACAACACCTAACATTGTCCATTATTTTGAGAGTTACACCTTTTATCTCAATTTTAATATGTTCTATGTCCACTGCCCCTATTATCCAAAGCTTAGCAATTACTTTGTGTCAAACAAACAAAAATGAACGTGTAAAGTATCATTTCAAACAAACTACAAGATTCCGAAATAGACCTATAGCTATTAATTTGAGCAGGATCAACTTTTTGCAATATCGGTGTAACTCTAGCTAGAGAAAAAGTTTCTTTAACAAAAACCTGTAAATAGAAAAATCTAAATTCAACTCACCTAATCGAGCCCCGCTCCTTCGTTTCACACGCAGACATATCGTTCGTGATCGTATGCACTGAAAATAAAATTGAATCCATTTAAAATTCCTAACGTGAAATGGTTTGGTATTGTTTCTTACACTTTCTTGATCTTCAGTTAACCTATTGAACATTTTTTTTTTAGTTATTGATATAATGATGTCATTCAGGTGATTTTACAGTGCTTTGTCTTCAATACTTCGATAGTATTTGTTGCCAAAAATCTGACGGAGAGACCTTAAGGCCCATTGGCTATATTTGACGATCTCTTTGGTACTGCTACCTTATTGGTGGAAAATGTCAGTTTGTTAGATTGACAATCTTGGTGAATTTTTTTTATATTTGTTTACTGTCTCTTTTGTTATATATATATATACATATATATATATATATATATCGATTGTATGTTGGTCCTAACTATCCAATAGCATTTTAGTTGTAAATAATTAATTTAATTTGTTAAAAATATGGAAAAATGGAAAATTAAACAAATTAATATTCTGTTTTTTGTGTTTATTTGGAGTTAGGAATTATTGCTGTGTTTAAAAACACAATCTAAAAGATCATCTTAATTACTTGTAATGCCCAAATCGAAAATGTAAAAAAAATATTATTTTCCCATAAATAATTAAAAATGCATCGAACCTTAAAAATCGAAATATCTCAAAAACGGCTAACTATAACGAAAATTCACAAGAGAGATGTTTTATGTTGAAATGTGCGAAGAATCAGTTTTTTTATTCAAAAAGCAAAAAATTGCACTAAGAAAAAATGCATGCATTACTTTTAAAAGTTCTATCGAATCTTAAAGTTATGCAACAATAAACTGAAACACCCTGTATATACAGGGTGACTTCGAAGTTGAGTCATTTATTTTAACAGTGAGTAGATCTGATCAAAAGACATGTTTTTTTCCTTTACCATTTTTCTGGTAAAATTAAAGTAACAAAGTTATAGCCCTTTGGAAGTTTGAGTACCGCCCTGTCTCAATAATAATATTATGTGCTCGTGTCTGGCAACAACGGATATAATCCGCCTTATCGGTTCATCGCATCGGAAACAAAAAAGCGAAAGAATTTGGAACGATGTTTTTACAATTATTTTATTCAGTTGTATACAGTCAGTGTCAGTCGGTAACGCGTGAGTGAATAGTAGTGTCTGTTGCGTGGCTCAAACGAAATAAAAAATGGCACATGTTTATGCGGATCGGTTTCCCAATCGAGTGCAACCAACCCCTCGTGCCTTTGTTAATGTAGTACAACGGGCTCGCGAATCAGGTGACTTAAGACCTCACAGGGGACGGCATGCCGGTGCTCCAAGACCTCACGATCAAATACAGGTCCGCACTGAAATACTTGTCGGGAGGATACTTTATAAAACAAGGTAACATTTTTTTTTGATTTTTTTTCATTTTTACACACATATTTTGGTTTATCTTCCTTCTACAATCATTATCTGAAAATTAATGACTCAACTTCAAAGTCACCCTGTATATATATATATATATATGTGTAAATAATTTTGTAAATTCTCATAATAAACACAAGCAGCGGCAACACTGCGGTGAGCGATCTGTTCGAGAACGATCTCGATTACTTTGAGCGGAATAAATACTCAAGGCGCGGCGACAGTGCGCTCAGTTTAAAACTATACAGAAGTTAAAGGTAAAAATGTATGTTTGTGATGCAATACATCTGTTTCCGTTGGTAAAAAAGGGAATAAAACTGAAGCAATTAAAAAATCAGTTAATTGGACATCAGACAATGTCAAACAATCGACAAAAGTGAGGAGGCATCATACCGGGTGTCCCAGATAGTTACACAAAAGAAGAAACCTTATGAAGACGAGGAAAAGATAAAACAGGCGCGTTTATAAGCTGCAGATTCATTATTTGCCAACTTTAGAAACATAATAGAATAGAAGTTTATTGGTTTCTCAGTTATAAACAAAAAACAAAGAAATTTATAAGAGAGATAACACGTCATTGTGAACAATTTTGTTTTTTTTAAGTACATACAAAACCAAACATACATAGACAACAAATAACACAGCGATATCGATGCTTACGGTTTCACTAGAGCACAGAACTCTTCAATACTATATGGTTCCATTTCGCATATACAGGGTGGCGCATCGAAAACGAAACAGACGCATTTACTGGCAGCTCAGTTTTTTTTCTGAAAAACGCTCAGTCCCGTCGATTGTGTTTTGAAGAAGGACACAACTCTTTCTGCTGTGGAATATACCATGATTAATTTATGTAATCAAACGTTACAAGTTATTTTAGCAACAAAGTTTGTTCAAATCAATCGCAGACTATGTACTAAATTCCCATTTAAAATAAGTACGAGATATTTCTTCAAGAAATAACTTTTTTGCCACAAAAAAACGCTCCAATAGCTATTTTCGACAGCAAAATGATAAACAAACCAAGGGCGTAGTGAATAAAAGCATTTACTTATCAAGTAAATTCTTTTAGTCAAATTTCTTCTGAAAGTAGTACAAACTAATCTGATATACCTATTAAAGCCTACTTTAAGCTTTAAATCAATAAATCTTCAAAACTACTGAACTGAAGCTCATGTATTTTACATCATTATAAAGGGAATTGAAAGACCTTCAAAATAAGGTATCACTCGACCCCCCTTTCCATTTAAGATTTTAGGGTTGGTGTCACCCCCGCCCAGGGGGCTGCACGTGTTAACGTGATTTTTTGTCACAATTGTGTCCCCCTCCAAAACAAAATCGACGGGTCTGAGCGTTTTTCCAAAAAAAAAAACTGAGCTGCCAATCAATGCGTCTGTTTCGTTTTCGATGCGCCACCCTGTATATTTATGAATGCTTTTTTTTTAATATGGCGAATGCTGAAATGGATTGAATATGTTGAGGTAAAGCTTTGTAAAGTTTCAGTGCACAGTAATGTAGACATTTTTCGGTAGAATTTAGCTTATGTGATGTATTTCTGATTTTTGCAAGTATTGTAGCTGTGGTTGAAGACGTTCTTTCCAAACTCTTCTTCATGGTTACAGATAAATAGTAGAGTGTTATATATATATATATATATATATAAATTCCCGCTAATGTTAATAAGCGGTTGACTTTAAATATACTTCTACATGACTCTCTAGGTTTCGTTTTGAACATTGTTCTTATTACCCTGTTTTGTATGATAAAAATTCTACTGCCTGCAGGACTATTACCCCAAATTGTTATGTGATAAGACATAATAGAATAGGCAAGCCCATAGTAGGCAGCCTGCACAGCTTGCGGGGGCAGGTGACAAGTGAGTACTCGCATGCTTGATTGAGTTTTGAAGCCATACTCTCAATGCGCTTATCAAACTTAAGACAGATATCGTATGTGACACCCAGGAGGTTTGTATCGCTTTTGATACATAGAGGTTCATTAATTAAGGGTAGTTCTTTGGTGACATGGCTTGGCTGAAATAGGACACAACGCGTTTCTTGTACGTTGAATGCTAACTTATTCACCTGCAGCCAGTTTTGAATATGGTTTATTTGGGTCTCTAACAAGATTCGGATATCAGACGTTCCTTTATATGGTACCAGAATAGTTATATCAGCTGCATAGATGAAACTTAGATTTTGCGTGTTTTCCGCGGTGGTGGATATATTATTAATATAAATAATAAACAATGTTGGCCCCAGTGTACTGCCTTGAAGAACACCAGTACTATATTCTATTCGTTTCCCAGTTTTGTTCAAAATTACTTTCTGTCTTCTATTACAGAGATAAGATTTAAGCCAGTAGTACGCATTCCCGTATATACCATATTTATATACTAAGTGACATATAAATCCGAACACCCAGTTTAAATGGTTTTATTTTAATAAAATTTTGTATAAGTACTTAATGAAGCATAATAAGTAAATGATAAAAATTTCAAAATGATTGCACCGCTTTGACCTTTAATAATGTGTGGATGCACCCTGATGTGCTACGCATTCTCCAACGCGCCTAGGCATGCTTCTGATCAGGTGGTCAATGTCCTCCTGTGGTATCTCATTCCAGGCAACCACCAACTCCTCTCGAAGTGCTTCTAGAGTCTGAGGAGGACGTTGCAAATTGAGCAATCTCCTACCCATCATATCCCACACGTCCTCAATTGGGGATAAGTCGGGAGATCTTCGTGGCCATGGTAACAATGTAACATCGTTATGTTGAAAGAAGTCTATTGTGACTCTTGCAACATGTGGTCGGGCATTATCTTGTTGGAAAGTTGGATCTGCCAGGGTGTCAAGATAGGGTAAAAGATGGGGTTCTAGAACTTCGTGGATATAACGCTGCGCGTTCATGTTACCTCTGATGAAGATTAAAGGTGACCTGGAACCATAAGCTATAGCACCCCAAACCATAACTCTAACAGTGTCATGAACATGTCTTTCAACAAGAAACTGTGGATTCCTCCTTTCACCACGTCGCCTTCTAACCCTGGCACGACCATCGTGCATGCCTAAACAAAATCGAGACTCGTCACTAAAGACAATACTGTTCCATTCTTGATCCCAGAGTGACCGTTGTCTGCACCACTCAAGGCGATTACGTCGGTGTTCTCGAGTTAGAACAAGCCAAAACTTCTCATTCGTCGGTAAACACTTCGCATGCCAATAGGTCTTCCGTGTTCTGCAAACCATTCATTTGCAATGGACCTGGTAGTGGAGAAACGGTCTCTTAAGGCCAATAATCTTAGGCGGCGATCTTCACGGTCTGTTGTTCTACGGCGGCGTCCAGTGCCCCTTGCTCTTTGCGTACGGCCTTCTCGAAGCCATGCCTGACAACACCTAACCACAGTGCACTTCTTTGCACACTAACTGCAATTGCCCGAAAAGAAAGTCCAGCTTCCCGAAGTCCCACTATACGGCCCCTATCAAACTCACTAATTTGACGAAATCGTACAGGTCTCCGTACTCTAGGCATCGTAACCGATCGTAAAGGATGTCAAGAACGAAAATCCGCCAACGTTGATTCTTTACTGCGGCTGAAATATTCATTTTTAGAGCGTTAGTGAATTAAAAAAAAGCAGTATAAAAACCGGAATGTCCAACTGATAAGGCTGAAAATTCACTTGTTATTTACAGTAAGATAAATACATTCACCAACTTTTATTAAAATAAAACCATTTAAACTGGGTGTTCGGATTTATATGTCACTTAGTATAGTTTTATAGTTACAAAGAACGTTATTCAAAACCTTGTCCGATGAAATTCGCTGTCAATACGGTGAACTACTTCTTCACTCTAAAGTCCGATGGTTCAGTAGCGGACGAGTGCTGAAACATTTTAATGATATCATATCTCTCATAGTTCAATTTTTCAAACAACGTGATGAACCGATTCCGAAACTGGAAAATTCAATCTGGCTTAGAGATTTTGGTTTTCTTCCGGGTATTACAGAAAAATTAAATGAACTCAGCGGACAGACGAAGAACTAGCAGAAATGATTTCTGATATAAAAGCGTTTATCAAAAAGCTTGAGTTTTAGCATTTTCTTGTTCTTTCAGAAACGATATCACGAAGTCCATTAGAACGATACGACAGTAAATATCATGTAGAATGACTCGCTCTAATTAGTTATACTATAACCCCAAACTTTTATTTACGTTTTATGTAAAATACGCGAAAGTATGATAAAATTTGTGAATTTTTTCGTACCTGATGAATGTGATTGATAACTTCAGTATGCGTCGCGTCTTCTAACGTTTTTCCATTCACCTCAAGGATTTCATCCCCGACCTCCAGATTATCTTTGTCAGCAGGAGATCCTGAAATTAAAACGGAAATTCAGGAATGTTTTTAATTTTCCCTCGAAGAAGAGAGTGGATATGAGTCGACGCTGTATTTCTGAATCGCAGGTATCGGTTTGAAAGTGAAGATTTTTGTCAGATATATTGCAACATCCTGGATGTTGGGTTCAACCAACAAAGTTGAACAGGCTTAAACCGCCAGTTCGACTGTTGTTGACATTTCACGTTAAATTTGAGTATTTCTGTGAAGACTTATAAAAGTGTGTGGGTTCCAAACAGTTGCCGAAAATAAATTACTTATAAGATTGAATCACTATGGATTTCAAAGATCTGTATTCAGAATTCTACCAAGCTACTTAATTGACAGAAGTCAAAAAATATTTCTGTGGATGTACCACAGGTTGTAAACTATTTGTTTTATACATTAATGATATTTGTAATATTTTAGATAGATTACATTAATATCAGCTGAAAATAGGAGCCCCTTCCCACTTCAGTTGGCCCAACTATTGAAATCTTAGTTTTTTTCTTATCAAACACAAATAATAAAAGGGTGTTATAGGTTTAAAATATTAACAATGAATATTTTGATAATATATAGTAGAAAACTCCAACTTTATCACTCCCTAATCAAATTCGCAGCATAAAAATGAAACATGTTGCAATTACAGCATATCAACCTATTTTCATTTCAATGCAAAATGAAATATTTGGCAATTTTAGAAGAATCGCTTTTACCAGTTATGGAAGAATGTTTGACATCCGGCCAAAATTTTGTGTTTCAGCGAGATGGTGCAGCGTGCCATACCTCAAAAAAGGCTATAAAATGGATGGAAGAAAATAATGTACAACTTTTGAAATGGGTTTCTAGCAGTCCAGATCTGTCACCTATTGAAACTTTGTGGCGCGAGATGAGGTTCTACGACAACATCCTGCTCGTACAATCACCGAAAGGAGACGAAAGCTTCAAGAAATATGGGATTGTTTTACACCAAATTTTTGCCAAAACTTGGCTAACACTATGCCCCAAAGAATTTCAGCCGTAATAAAAAATAAAGGTGATGTTACCCAATATAATTCTGATGCAAAATTTCGAATTTTTAATATGAACATAAGGAGTATAAAACACAACATTGATTACTTAAAAATACTACTCGACCAAATATGGTACAATTTTGATCTAATAGTTTTAACTGAAACGTGGTAAGTGGCTGATATTTCTTTCTTCAATCTGCAGGGATATGACATGCTGTATAACTTTGGCACTTATAACCAAAACGATGGGGTGATAGTTTTTGTAAGAAATAAACTGCAATATAATCATGATACATTCACTTTCACCGATGGAATCAAAATTTTAAACATAATGATCCAAATTAACCATAACAAAATTGAGGTATCTGCAATTTATCGTCCGCCATGTTCAGAACCCCACGAGTTTTTAAAGAATATCGAATTTTTTTTTCAAAATCAAAATAAAGTTCATTTAAAGCAACATATTTTCTTGGGAGATGTCAATATAAATATTTTGGACGATGATCCCATCACAAATGAATACTTGAATATCCTATCAAGTAACGGATTTCTGTCCTATATAAACCTACCTACAAGGTCCATCAGTGGCACATGTATAGATCACTGCTTTGTGAAAGACCTATCCAACAAAATTACTTGTATACCAATAATCCTAGAAAGCGATATTACTGACCACTTCTCCACTATTTTACTGATATCTTCAAATGAAAAACATTCTAACATCCCTACCGTTAGTAACAACCAGGAAAATTACAAATTTTTTGTCGACAATTCAAGACTAATATCAAATGTCAAACAAGAATCCTGGGAACAATTATACTCTATAAATAATATAGACAAAGCAACGGGACTGTTCATAGAGAAAATAAAAAACTAATAGATATTAATACCAATAAAGTAATAATTAGTCACAAAGAGAAAAGCAGAAATGCCTGGATTACCAAAGGATTAATAACATCGGCAATAGAAAAAGAAAGACTATATAATGTAATGAAACTAACGCCAACTACAGAGAATACCGACTGCTACAACCAATATAAAAATAAATTTATAGAGCTTGTAAGGCAAACCAAACGAAAACATTACCTAAATAAATTGAATAATAACTTAAATGATAGTAAGCGGCTTTGGACAACTATTGATGAGATTACTGGGAAAACAAAAGTTAAAGAGTGTGTCACTGAGTTAAATACAACATCGGGAACAGTATTAAAAAATACTCAACAGATATGCGATGAATTTGTACAATTCTTTACTGACATAGGCGAAAATTTAGCAAGTAATATACAAGCAAATGTACAAAATACTCAGCCTCCAAAAAGAACTTTGAACTCATTTATTTTGGATAAAGTCGAGCAATGTGAAGTATACACCACTGTTATGTCCTTAAGAAATCGGAAAAGTCCTGGGTTCGATGGTATTAAAAGCGAGCATTTGAAAATTATAGCCGAGGACATAACAGAACCACTCACTTACCTAATCAACAAATGCTTTGAATCTGGCATATATCCCTCAATTTTAAAAAAAGGTAATATAATACCGATACATAAATCAGGAACAAAAACAGATGTTAACAACTATAGACCAATATCAATAATATCCAGTGTAGCAAAGGTTTTTGAAAAAGTTTTATCTACTAGAATGACTCGATACCTCACAAAATTCAAAATTTTAAGTGAAAATCAATATGGATTTACAGAAGGGAAGGCTACATCGGACGCAATAACTAAAATTGTAAATCAAATACATCAAAATATTGATAACAGAATCCCTTCAATCTGCATTTTTGTTGATTTAAAGAAAGCTTTCGATACAGTTAATCACAAATTATTATTAGAAGCATTGGAGAGAATTGGTTTCAGAGGAAACGCGTACTCACTGATCGAAAGTTATTTGTCAAATCGCCCACAATCTGTGCAGATATCAGGATCATTTAGTAAAGAAATGTATATTAAGTGTGGTGTCCCACAAGGAACTGTCTTAGGTCCGCTGTTATTCAATATATATTTAAATGATATTTTCCAAATTAATTGTGTTGGCAAAATAACTAGTTTTGCAGATGATACTGCAATATTATATGAAGGCACTGACTGGTCTGATCTGAAATATGTGATTGAAAATGATTTTATCAAAATTATTCGGTGGTTTAACAGTAGAAAATTAAGCATTAAAACACATTTTTCACCATTTGGATCTTATGCTAGACATCTGCCAAATTACACAAATTTCTCCTTCAATATTAATGATCAAAAAATGCAAATTAATAGAGTGCCCAACATAAAATACCTTGGAGTGGTCTTGGATCCTCACTTACGATGGGACATCCATGTCAATTATATTTTAAAGAAAGTTAGATTTGTATCCTACAAAATTAAATACCTTGGGAATATATTGACAGAAAAATATCTTCGAACATTATACCATGCACTGATTGAGCCTCATCTCACATATGGTATATTAGCATGGGGAGCTGCATGTTCCTCACATATCTATAATTTAGATGTTTTTCAAAAAAGTATTCTAAAAATGATATTTAAAAAACCGAAACTTTATCCCACTAAAAAATTATACGCAGATGTTCGAATGTATGATATAAGACAGCTTTATTTCTTACACAGTATCACTCACTACCATAAATTTGTAAACACCGACCAAAAAATTAAACATAATCATTATACCAAGTACAAAATTCGTGGCACAGTAGTTCCTCAACCTCATAAATCTATAATGCAGCGATCATATCTCTATTTAGCGCCTAAATTTTATGAAATTATACCTAAAGACTTAAAAGATTTACGTTTCGGAAATTGTTTCAAAAGAAATTTAAAAAAGTGTTACATTCTATATCTAGGACTGATATTCATAAACTCATAAATACGAACATCAACTAAATACATAATCTACAGTAGCTAATTTTTGTCCTTTTTTGTCATTTGCATTCTACAGTTTCAACTTAAATCTATTGGTCCATGTGCAGGCGATGCCTTCTATTGGGCCTGTTTTGATTTTATATTTATTTACTCATATTGTTTGTTATCTTTGTACATTGAGTAAATAAATATTATTATTATTATTATTAATGGTAATCTTTCAATTGTTGCTTTTTTAACTTCGCGCATTTATTCGCAAGTTGTTTATTTGTTTAAGTATGTATTTTTTACGACTAGAGTGTATCTAAAACGTTTTTGAGATAATAAATTGTTTTAGAAGTAAATAGTTTCGTTTATAAAGGCATATTTTCGTACAAATCTTGGGCCAACTGAAGTGCGAACGGGCTCGTACAACTTCTTTGTTGAAGGTCTCGCGCGATATCTCGATAACAGTAATGCAGTTAATAAAAGCTTTCAATCTTTTATATTTCATATAATGTACGCCGTAATGGATCATAATACCCCTTTACGATGTGAAACCCGTTCATAATTGAGACATTTCTTACCATATAATTTTATCTTCTTATCCTTGGTTTCTACCAGAATTATCACGTATCCTCCTAGGTCCACCATGATTCGAGATGCATTCAGCAATCTGCAAGGAATATAACTTTAGAGAAAAGCTAATTTGAACCTGTTTCGCTCAGAATGAGCCGAACAGAAGCTTCAAGCATACAAGGGTTGTCTCAGAAATAAGGGCTTCCCACTTTTTTTTCAGTCACAAGGAACTTTTTATTTGAAAAGACAAATTCGCCATTGGAAACGTTGATCTTTAAGCTATTTTTATGCATAGTCGGCATTTTTAACACCTTGCGATTTTTTTCTGTGAGGCTATTTGAAAGAGTTCGTGTACCATGATGGAACAATAAATACTCTCAAATTGTTTATGAGTATGATTCGCATGATTTTCTTCAAACCAGCATATATTCTTCAATAATTGAGATATTGACATGAATAAAAAAAAGTGTTGAAAAAAGTTGAGGCTTGAAATTCTCATACGAAGACAAATTATTCAGTAATCCAATGTTTCCATAGGGTGCTCAGAAATTTAGGGTAAAATGCACCTTTTAGTTACACCCTGTATTACAACAAATCTTTCAATTTTTACCTACAACCTGACGAAGAAATTAACGAAATTAATGCAAAGGTTAAAAATTTATTTCAAATTTAATTTGAACAAAATTTTGTTGTCGCACGATAATGATTTTCTTAAATATTTTTTAATAATGTAAGCTAACTCTCTTATTATGCAACTTTTACCTAGGTGTTAAAATACGTGACTCAACTTTGAAAACACCCAGTATATCGGATATGTGTTCAGTTTAATTCATGTGATATATTTACATGAATACGATAATTTCGAACCGTGTTTTTGATAGAACGTGGCGCTACACGTCGAATTCTCACGCTTTTCAATAGATACGTACTGTGTTCAAATACGAAATATCACAACTATCATCAGCAGCAGAGACGTCCGTTGGCTTTGTGCGTTGCGGCGAGCTTATCACTAAGAGTATCACTACGATCTTGAATCACGTAGTGAGCCAGTAACCGTCCAAATCGGAATGAACGAAAAACTTCCACCATTTGAACCGTTTCTTCAGTCCCATGGTCGAATGGTTGTTCGCGATCGACGGCGGCATCACGACGACGACCTGCTGGGGCCCTTGAGGGCTCGACGCGGCGGCATGCTGCTGGCCAGTTCGGTTTGGCGGATCCCGCGATGGACGACCGACGAACGGACGGACGGACAGACCGACGTTCGACGTCTCGACGCACGGCGCCGACGCTTCGCCGGATGCGTCGTCGTCTTGCGTTGCGATCGGCGCTCAGCTGCCCTGATAGCTGAAGCTGTCACCAGAGAACGTGAGAGAGGAAGCTGAGGCAATGTTGCCGGATCTTCGATTTAGGGGGAAATTGGAAAACGTTCTCTTTAGGTCGAAAATTGTTTTTTCTCAAGTAACATCATAAGAGCACCTAAAAAAATATAAATATGCTGAGTGTGTTTTTTCACAGGAAAAAATTATATGCCCTAATCGTATTTGACAATACTATTTCATAAGTGCGCATACACATAAATTTATTGACAATAAAATCAGAAAAATTGTTTAGCGTCGCTTTCTGGTGTCCAAGGAGATCATAATTACTGGTTATCAAAGGAATTGTAATTTTTGAACTTCCTGAACTTCAGTAGAACTAGAAAAAGAACTAAAATCGCGCAGAAGCTGTAAAGCTTGATTTCCAAAGCGAAGTGCTCTGCTAAATTCAACGATATAACTTTCCCAGCACACCTTCACAAAAAAAAATTCAGAAGTACACCCTCCTGTGAGATAAACCGGCAAGCAAAATAGCTTATCTTAACCAATCAGCAAAGCTGTGGATCGATTTATTCGTACAAGAACGATCCCTGGGGAACATGCGCGTTGACATTGGGAGATCAAAAGGAGAACCCGTCACTTATGTTTTATACTTATTACAATAAGCCCTGCCCACACAGACTAGCAACAGAAATGCTCTGGTTCCCGTACCATAATCCTACTCAGGGGTGTAAAATCCTGTATCACAAGAATTCCGTATAAATCTGGCAACACAGCTTAATGATCAATAAGTCCTTACAGGGATGCTGTGCATACTTTGCTGTCATCCAAAGGGAAACTCCCGAAAAGGCTGGAGAGACGAGCATGGTTTTTCCATTTACTACTAATTTATTTAGTAGATAATAGGGAAAGAGTGGATCGTCACAAAATAGGTATACAACTAATTCATTAATTTTATGATTATATCCAGGAATAGAGTAGGAGGATCATTTTTTGTATATAAGGAATAAAAACAACGTATATTAACATAAAGATATGTACTTTGTAAAAATTTATGTTTTGTTCATAAGACATCAGTTTCTTCATTCATATGGTCCAAGACTATCTTAATTAAAAGTGCGATAATGCTACTGCGTATTTAAACTTTTACATTTCTTGCTAACAAAAAATAAACATCCAAACTATATTCAAATTCATTTATGACCTGTTTATGACCCTTGAATTTTGTTTTCTAGCTTACACTTGTTTTTATTTTGAGAAGCTTGCGCCATCTACTGACGAGGGTACCAGTTAACAGTTTTCAATGAAGCTTAGAAAAGAATTCTGTCAGAGAATCTATAGACATAAAGAACTGGACTGCTCATCTAAGAAATGCACCGACTAAGAAAACAAGTAATCGTATCTGCCATCTTCATATCATTAATCCATGTATTTCATATAAATACAACATTAATGAAGTTTTTCTCAGCAAAGAATGTAAGATGGGTTGACAGTATACTTTATCTGAAGTCACTTGAAACACTGTGAAATACCGGGTGCGTATATATCTATATTTAACACGCTCTGTTGCTGCAAAAATCGCCAAATTTCGCAGCAAATATCCCCCGTATAAGATCAAAGGCAGTTTCACCGGTCCACGTGGAGTAAAGCACGCCTATGCGTGGACATAGCCAATGAGAAAGCGTGTATTTCAGAGCTCCGAACAAGTGCAGGTGGCTACTGAAAATTGAAACAGTTTAGCCAGTGCCGTGTAGCGGTGAATAAACGTGTTTTCTTTAGTCTGTCCGTGTTTTTTCATAGATTTTATTAGTTTGTGTGTTTTTGACTTTTGAATACTCAGTTTACTTGTTGATTTAATTGTTGTGTTGATTGTTCTTGTATGTCCTAAATATGGCTCTTTGGAGACCTTGGGAAATGCTCCAAGCCACGAGGAGATGGTTGATGAACCTGTGCAGGCAGAATTCTTTCATAAAAATTTAGAGGAACAGACCCAAACAGTAATCCTAAATATGTATGCTTGTCTGAAAAACGAAAATCCAGATTCCTCGCAAAATCAAATTTTAAACAGAATTTGTATCCTGACAAAAATCAGTCGGTCTACCATTTATCGGGTTATAAAAAGGGGAGATGTAGTCAACCATTCCTTCCACAGAAAGCGCATAGGGCAAAAATTAAAAAGAATAGACGTGGGTTTTCAGGAAGATATTCGTCGTATAATATATGGATTTTATAAAGAAAATTTGGTGCCCACGTTGGAAATGATACGGGATAAATTAAAAGAAGAAGATTTTTATAATTACAAATGCTTAGACTCACTGCACTGTATTGTAAAACTGTGTGGTTTTCAATACAAAAAATTAGATAAAAGAATGGTGATTATGGAGCCGTCTCGAATCGTTGAATTGCGCCAAGAATTTTTGCACAAAGTTAAAATCTATAGAGAGCAGAAAAGAAATCTGATTTACCTGGATGAAACGTGGTATGATACCCATGATGTTGTGCAGTACGGCTGGGTTGACGACAGCAACAAGTGCATTTTAAATGCACCATGCAACCGTGGAAAACGAATCATTATTCTCCATGCTGGCAGTGAAAATGGATTTATACCTAATGCCTTGCTGTTATCTGCCAAAAATATCAAAGAATCATGTGCCGACTATCATGAGGACATGACCTCCGACTTATTTGAAAAGTGGATAGAGCAGCAGTTAATACCAAACATTTCCCCAAATTCAGTGATTATTATGGACAATGCGCCATACCATTCCCGACAGAAAAACAAAATTCCGAATACAGGCACAAAAAAACAAGACATTATTGATTTTATGAAGGATAAGGGAATGGAAATACCACAAAAATCAACCAAAGCCATAGTATTGGATCTTATTAAAAGACAAAAATTTTAAAAAGAGTATGTTGTTGACAATCTGCTTCAGCAAAATGGCCATGAAGTATTACGTCTACCTCCCTATTACTGCATTTTTAACCCGATTGAGTTGGTCTGGGCTGCTTTTAAAAAAAAAGTAAGAAAACATAATCAGACCCCTCAATTAAGTGAATCGCTATTGGCCACAATAAGAGATGCAGTATCTCATATTGCTGCCACAGACCTATGGAAGCAGTGTTCTAGGCATATTATTGAAAAAGAAAATGAATATTGTGTTTTGCCTCCTGTAAATCCCGTTGTAATTCCTCTACAAGATGACTCTAGCGACAGCTCCGAAGGCGAGGATGATATATAAATACCTATAATGTAAGTCTTTATATACCTTTTTATATACCTACCTGGTATGTAAATATTTGCCTATGTCAAACGTTGGAATTCTGTAATTTTTCCATTTCTTAACTTTCAGTCAACATAAATTAAACTCCCAATATAAGCATTTTTTATCCCAAATCAAAAAAATAAGAAGATAGTAAAATCCATTTATTGTAATATAAAAACATTATTATTATCGTTCTAAATAAATGACCGCACGCCTATGATACGTCATGAAATTACAAAGGACGCGCCGACCAAAGGTTTTTATGCTATTTCAAGTGACTTCAGATAAAGTATACATTTCTTATACATTTATCTCGCTTTATTGATATTTAGAGTTGACGTGACAGACATACGAGCAACCAGCAGTCCAGTTCCATATACACGATGACGTGCGTGACATGCGTCATTTGCGTCAGCTGTCAATATCAACATGTTTTTAGGTTATCGTAAATAAACGTCAAAAGGCTTCAAAATATTCATGTTTTCATAACTAATTTCTACAGTTCAGACGTTCAGAGCGAAACCAGTAACATGTAATTTTTCAAAGCCGCCTAAAATACTTATTATTTTAAGGACTAACATAGATTTAACTTGATTCCAACGTAGCAATTAACATTATATCAGCATGTCTTCAATATATGGGTACAGCAAAGAAGCTATTAGGATAAAAGTTAAGGTAAAGTAGAATATTTTCAAAAGAAATTCTGTGAGTATAACAATAATTTTGCAGAAATGTGACGCAGGTCAGCCACCAGAATCTAGAAAATTTAGCGTAGATCCGCAAATCACCTCTTTTGAAGTGTTACATAGCATTCTAGTAAAAGCCTTCGATTTGAAAAATGATTTCTCAATATGCTATAAAGTACACGACGCAAACGGGTATGAAACCAGCTTGCCTTTACTGTCCGACTGGGACCTAGATGCTGCATTTCTCAAGTATGTATCAATAAACAAAACTGAATCGTATAAAACATATCACTTATTGTCTTTATCTGTTATACCGTCCTTCATTCCTTTATATCAAGGTTGTTGTTATGGGTTGTACATTTTGCCTAGATAATACAGTTAGTTAAAATGCAAACTTATATCAGTGGTGTTTGTGTACCTCATGTAGAACAATTTGGAATAAAATTATGATAAAAAGCAACATCCTCTTTCACCATATGTGTATTATTATTGCACAAAATGTGATATATGTAACAGAAGTGAAACTGAAAGTGAACATAATAAGTGAAAATTCATATATAAAATGTTGCACAACGAATTGCTACACAACAAATAACTGAATAATATTAGAAATAGATTGTGTATTTCATATTTACTGGTGTGTTCAAAATTATTGTAGTTATAATCATATAGTGTAGACATGTAGTGAAGAATATTTAACTAGAGTAGGTACAATTATGTGAAATCTGTTAATATGAAAAATGCAAAAGAGTTTAAAATTTGAAATCAAGTGATGAGTTGTTGATACTGGAAAATCATCCTTTATATTTTTTATTGGTGTATGATTTGTTGATATGGCTTACAAATTTGCTTACAGAGCTCACAATATGTCTATCATTCTGAACTCTGAACCATGTTTATGTCTACAAATTGAATTAAGGCCTATCGAAGAATGCCATGATGAGAGCAACATAAAAAGAAATTTTCCATTTATAACACAAATTAGAGGCTCAGGAAATCAAGAATCTAGACCTGCTAGATTGCACGGAATCATCAACCAAGTTAGTATAAGAATAGTTGATATATTTTTGATCTATTACAAATCTAAGTTTTGTACTCTATATGTATTTTCATTGAGAATCAAAAACTAGACTTTCAGCTCAAATGGAATTGTATGATTTATTATCTGTCTATAGATGTTTCTTAATATATTTTTTTGATGTCATTAGATTTTTAACCATTTTGATACCAATGCTCAATGATGAAAATTTTTCAAACCTTGAGATCACTTTTTTGGGTCATAGGTTGGAAAAACATTCAATATGGTTCAGAGGGCCTTCAATTTTGGTGAAGACGACACAACTTTGCTACAACAGCCCCCCAGACCTCCTTTATCTGACATTGAATTTAGAAAATTCCTGGATCCTGTAGGTCAAATTATATTTGCAAAGGAGTTGAGGTCCGTCATTTACTATGGTGGAATAGATCCTAGTTTAAGGTAACTATTTGTTTATGGTAAGAGTATTGTTTTCAGAATGGCAATAAAAAATACCATCTAATACTGAAGGCAGGTGCCGACATTAGGAGTTTGATTTTATATGAATCCAACATTTTTGGAAAATTAATTATATATCTACAGTCTTATAAAATAAAATGATACTGTTTTTCAAGGAAGGTAGTATGGAAGCATCTCCTCAATGTCTATCCAGATGGCATGACAGGCAAGGAACGCATGGATTACATCAAAAAGAAAGCCCTGGAGTACACGAATCTTAGAGAGACATGGAAAGCAGCGATTTCCAAAGGCTCTGTAACAGGAGAGTTAGCTTACACCACGGGAATGGTGAGGAAAGATGTACTAAGGACAGACAGACACCATCCGTTCTACGCTGGTAGCGATGACAATCAAAATGTGGCTTCTCTTTTCAATATCCTCACCACGTAAGTATGTTTTTTATTTTCGGTATGACAATAAAATATTTCAGTTTGAATGTGATGTTGAAAAGTATCGGGTTAATGAAATAGAAAAAATTATATAGCAATGTGAAGTGTGTTGCATTGTAAAACATGCAATTTTGTGTCGATTGGTTCTTGGCGACTCTATGATTGTTCAAGAGTCGGGTACAGTTTTCGCAACGCCTCTGGAAGAAATGTCACTTTTAAAAGCACCTAGCAAATTTAAAGATTCGATAATTTGAGTTATAACCAACATTCGAAAAATTTGAGATGTCACTTTTTACGATAGCCCATAGATGCATAGAAAAATTTCCAAGATGAAAAATTGAGAATCTGACAGCCCGAAACTTTACTAAAAAAAGATGACTTTCTTTACTCACCCTGTATCAGTGAATAAATAAAAGAAATATACCAGTCGAACGCTGTACGTTTTTTCAAAGAGTTGGTCAAGAACCTCCCGAATACCTGGACTCGATATCTCTTTCTGTTCCAAAAATATCGATATTTGGGTAAAATTTTTCATGTTGCAATGCAACTGTCCACCAGTTTAGTACAACTTTTTAAGAAGCTTGTGTGGAAACACACATTGCTACTGGGATTTTTCAGGATAAAAATAGGTTATCTACAGGGTGTCCCAGAAGTCGACGTCAAGCCGAAACCGGGTGATAGGCAAAGTCATAACAGCTATCAGAAAAATATTTAAAAAAATTTTATGTATGTGTTTTGAAAATTATAGGTCTTTGAAAAAGATATAGAAATTTCACACCCTACGGCAGTCTGTCAACTCCTGTTACTACAAATATTAACTTTTTTTGGATTTTATTTTTACAATGTAATGATGAATAATGCATCTTCAAACTGGTGTCTCAACCTTACTGCCAACTTTTCTCGTTCAAGAAAAATTTCCACAAATTTCCCAACCAAGTATTCCAAAGTAAAACTTTGCTCAACTTTAACTGGCGGTACTGGAAAAAAATGTACTACGAGAGTTTGGCAAGTAACCTTAAAAGTTGGCGCATTTAATAAGGATTCCAAAATGGTATAACACTTAGAAGATTACTCGTTAACTTATGCACAATTTTTATTTGAAGAAAAACATGAAAATTTTTCAAAATTTCCTAATTAAACAGCGATTATGAAAAGTACAAGCCCATAGAATCTTGCAAAAAACGTGCTCCATCCATACCACGTACAGCGTGTTCAAGCTCTTCTGCCCCGGGATTATGAGCCCCGAGTTGCTTTTTGTCGCACAATGTTAGAAAGACACAGGGAAGATCCACGGTTCTTTAAAAAAATTTTATGGTCAGATGAGACCACATTTAAGAAAGATGGGTACATGAACCTGCATAACTTACACGAGTGGCACGTAGCAAACCCACATTTGATGAGAGAAGATAAATCTCAATATCGCTTCAAGATAAACCATTGGACAGGAATTTTAAATGGTAAAATAATCGGTCCGTTTGAGTTCCCAGAGACTGACTGCTGAGGTTTATTTAGTTTTTTTTTCAAAATCATTTAGAAAATTTATTGGAGGACGTGCCACTGAGAATTTACAGGGACATGTGGTTTCAGCATGATGGCTGCCCAGTGCACTATGCACTCTCAGTGAGAGAGTATCTCGATCAAAACTTTCCAGGCAGATGGATAGGGCGGTCTGGTACAATACCGTGGCCAGCCCGGTCACCAGATTTGAATCCGTTAGATTTTTTTTACTGGGGAACTGTAAAAGAAAAAGTGTATTTCAAGCCGATTCAAAATGTAGCTGAGCTACGGCAAAGACTATTGGAAGCAGCTGAGTTTGTTAATAACCGTGGATTCGCTCGTTTAATAACCCGATCTTTTTTAAGAAGATGTCCAGCGTGTATTGCGGCTGAAGGAAAACAGTTTGAGCATTTGCTGTAAGGGTAAATCATCATCAACAGCATTTTGACGCCCACTGTTGTGCAAACAGTTATCCTTAAGGGTCCTTGTGCGTTTTCATAATCGCTGTTTAATTAGGAAATTTTGAAGAATTTTCATCAGTTTTTTTTTCAAATAAAAATTGTGCATAAGTTAACGAGTAATCTTCTAAGTGTTATACCATTTTGGAATCGTTATTAAATGCGCCAACTTTTAAGGTTACTTGCCAAACTCTCGTAGTACATTTTTTTCCAGTACAGCCACTTAAAGTTGAGCAAAGTTTTACTTTGGAATACTTGGTTGGGAAATAAGTGGCAATTTTTCCTGAACGAGAAAAGTTGGCAGTAAGGTTGAGACACCAGTTTGAAGATGCATTATTCATCATTACATTGTAAAAATAAAATCCAAAAAAAGTTAATATTTGTAGTAACAGGAGTTGACAGACTGCCGTAGGGTGTGAAATTTCTATATCTTTTTCAAAGACCTATAATTTTCAAAACACATACATAAAATGTTTTTAAATATTTTTCTAATAGCTGTTATGACTTTCCTATCACCCGGTTTCGGCTTGACGTCGACTTCTGGGACACCCTGTATAATATATTCTGAAATATTTTCAGTAAGTGGAAACTTGTGACATTCTCCACAATCTCAAAAGAAGGCTGTCACTTCCTGAGCCGTTGCTTTTGATGACAACATGAAAGCAATGCACCTGAAGTCACAATCAGGTTGCATTTTGTTTGTTTGTTGAAGATTTATTTTGCATTAATGCTGCAATAATAATTTTGTATATATTTTTTTAATCAATGATCTGTAATTTTACATACTTGTCAATTAAATTTTTGACATTCACAAAGGGATTTTTTAATTTCACCTTAAACCTATTTAAATTCGAACACTGTTTAATATCATTATTCAATTTAGTAAATTCAAATACTCCGTTTTGAAATACAGATTTGCTAGTCAATTTATCATTACTACTTATACCGAAACATTTAGAATCTTTTTTGAGAGAATCTCTCTAGGATTTTATTACTTTTGTGCTTTTTTGTTTGTTGATTTTATTTTCCTAAATTAATTCATGGATGAATTGTGATATGCTTGTAATGAACATAAGTTGGGATCATCGTCTTCACTATTTGACTTCGACTGTCTATAAAATCAGTGTTCATTCTTTCTTCTATAATTATTTTTTTCTGTTACTACTCAATCTTGGAAACGCATTTTAGATAATCATTATTTCTGTTTGGAGAAGCAATATTTTGTACTGTTTTCCACATCATTTTAGAATCATTCATATTGGTATTGATCTTGTTATCATAGTATTTTTTTCCTTCCTGAAAACTGCTAGACACTCATTTCTTGATTTTGTAGATTGTTTGCAATCATTTTCAGTTTGGGTTATTAAAAATTTTCGCGTTTTAATTTAGACACCTTGAGCATCTATGAAAACCAGGACGTTGGGTTCACTCTTCCATACACTGAAAACCAAAATTTGTCTGATGAAACAGAAGGGTACTTTGATGAGAACAGTGCCAAAAGAAATCTTTATGTCGACTTTAATATTATTCATTGTTTTCTGATGAATGAATGATGAAAAAAATCCTATTTTTCAGTTATGCTTTAAATCATCCGAAAGTTAGTTATTGCCAAGGGATGAGCGACTTAGCATCACCGCTTCTGGTCACTATGAACGACGAGGCGCATGCGTACGTATGTTTTTGCGCGTTGATGAACCGGCTAGCCAGCAATTTTATGATCGACGGGATCGCAATGACGCAGAAGTTTACGCATTTAGCCGAGGGACTTATGTATTACGATACGGAGTTTTACAATTATTTGAGGATGCATGAGGTATGTGATTGTTTTCTTCTTGCTTTTGTTTACTCGTCCTAAAATGAATTCGTACTGTACACATTCTTAAAATTACCGAATCATTGTTTTGTTTTTACCATTCTTGTTTGTTATATCGTTTCTAGGCGGACGATTTGCTGTTCTGTTACCGGTGGCTTCTTCTAGAAATGAAGCGAGAGTTTGCCTTTGAAGATTCATTGCGAATGCTGGAGGTGAGTAAGAATATTTTTTAATATACAGCAGACGCTCGATAATGTAAACTAATTTAATCCAAGTGTGGTTCACATTATCGAAATGTTTACATTAGCGGACGTGATTTATATAATATTTGATTTATTAAAAGAAACGTTTAATACATACTATTTATAACAAAATAAACAAATATTCTAACAGCGATAAGTATTTTTTTAATTAGAAGGAAAATAATTAACAATTTTTGTCTGCGTAAATTTGCGCTTAGCATTGTCTTCCAATGCCTGCGCCCGTAATTTACGAAGAACTAAAATATCCGTGTATGAAACTTCTTTTCTTTCAGCCCAATCTAAAGCTTGGTTAAAAACTTGTATAGCTTGCGCGTCAGTCACTACACTTCTGACTTCAATGGGATCGTTTTCATCATCCTCACTGTCCATATCCTCCTCCTTATCAGCATCATTCGTCTGCTTATCTTCGTTCCATAAATTAATATCAGCAGGAGTACAAACAATGTTGGGAGTCAATGTTTTCAATAAATCAACACTAATAACATTATCATTATTGGATCGCAAACGTTCTCTACTTACGCTTAAGGGGACATCGTCTTCTTCATCATCTTCATTATTGGTACAAAAGAGATTGTTCCATCATTTTTGACTAGTTTGCTGATTAAGTTCATTCCAGGCTATATGTAAATCTAAAACAGCTTCTCGAAATGTTACTTTTTTTAAAGCCTCAGATAAGTTTTCAGGAGTCTTTGATAAGACACACGAAAGTAGAAACTTCCTATAGTATAGTTTGGTGAGTCTTATTATATTCTGGTCCATCGGTTGAATTAACGGTGTTACGTTGGGCGGCATGTACATGACGAAAATTGACCTATCCCTGCTCCTCAGTTGTTGCTCGGGAGGATGACTTGGTGCATTATCCAATAGTAACAACGCTTTTATTGGAAGCTTCTGTTGTTTTAGGAAACCTTTTACCTACAAATTGAAAACACATCTTCAAATTATGAATAGAGCATTTGTGATAATTGATTGTCATACTTGAGGGACAAAGCACCTGTGGAACCATTTCAGGAATATACTGCTAGTCATCCAAGCGGTTTCTGAACAGTGATAATCAACAGGGATATTAACATTTTTAAATGAGCGCGGATTTTTTGCTTTCCCAATTACCAGTGGCTTTATTTTGTGTGAACCATTAGCATTAGTGCAGGCTAGAAACGTTATTCGTTATTTCTCCGGCTTTCTTCCCGGGGCAGATTTTTCAAATGATACAGCATAGGTTTTCTCTGGTAACATTTTCCAATAAAGGCCACTTTCATCTGCGTTGTAAATTTGTTCCATTCTTAAATCTAGCTCGGTAATTGTTTTTATCAATTTTTCTTTGAATGGTTGCACTAATTGTGGTTATGCTGATAATTTTTCACCAGATATAGACAGCAGTCGAATTCCAGATCTTGTTCTGAATCTTTGTAGCCAGCCATCACTAGCTATGAAATTTTCAGTTTCTTTCAGTTTTTCATTTAACAGTCTCGCTCTCTGTTTAAGTACTTCGCCACTAACTGGGACATGATTTTCCCGTTGTTTTAAAAACCAGTTATACAGGGAATTTTCCATTTTAGGTGCCTTCGTATTTTTTAAAGTTTTTCTTTTTCCCGGACCTCCAAATATATTGCACGTTCTTTGTAAAATTTGAGTTTTCATACGCTTAATTTTACAGACTGTTGTTTTCGATACTCCATATTTTTTTGCTAACTGTGTCACTCCCGCACCTAGTGCAACTTCGTCTATGATTTTCACTTCCTCACTCAACTTTAAACACTTTCTTTTATAGGATGTAGATAGTCGTAAAATATATTAACGCGTGCAATGTATTCACTTAAGTTCATAAATGAAATACATACGTACGTATAAACGTATCCTAAACGATCATACGACTGACCGAGTTTGTCGTATTTTATCGCAGAGGTGAATCCCCTACAGTCTACATCATAAATCGGGGACTCCCCGACGCCCGACATAAATCATCGAGGCTTCAGCATTTTGCCGTCGCGCTGTTTCCGTGCGCCGAGAGTTGTTTACGTTATCGAGCGTACACATTGTTTACGTTATCGCGCGTTCCGTTTGATCCTATAGAACGAAGTTTGTGTTTACATTAGCGCAAGTTTTCATTATCCCGTGTTTACGTTATCGAGCGTCTGCTGTAATTAAAAAAAATACATTTCAATTTAATCAAAGGTATTTCATTTTTAAGGTGGTTCATCAAGTTTTACAAGTCATTATAATCAAAAAGTAATGGCTGTTTTCTAATGTTAGCAAGGACTTATATATTCTAGGTGATGCAATTTTTTGTTTTAGAGTTTGCCAATACTTTGTCAATATTTGCTCGAAAAGTACGAATGCTACATTACCCTAATTTTGTATTCAACATCGATTGAACAATATTTACGCCTTTGTGAAAATGTTTTGCAAAATTATTATTTTTTTTTGAAAAGTTGGTTGCACTATAGTTGCAACATCTTTCAAATAAAATAGCACGGACATTTGAAAATTATTATATAAAACTAGGATTTGGTTAGAAATTGATACTTTTTACAAGCCTTTACACTAAATACAGCAGACGCTCGATAACGTAAACACGGGATAATGAAAACTTGCGCTAATGTAAACACAAACTTCGTTCTGTAGGATCAAACGGAACGCGCGATAACGTAACCAATGTGTACGCTCGATAACGTAAACAACTCTCGGCGCACGGTAAAATGCTGAAGCCTCGATGATTTATGTCGGGCGTCGGGGAGTCCCCGATTTATGATGTAGAGTGTAGGGGATTCACCTCTGCGATAAAATACGACAAACTCGGTCAGTCGTATGATCGTTTAGGATACGTTTATACGTACGTATGTATTTCATTTTCGAACTGAAGTGAATACATTGCACGCGTTAATATATTTTACGACTATGGCATCCACATCCTATAAAAGAAAGTGTTTAAAGTTGAGTGAGAAAGTGAAAATCATAGACGAAGTTGCACTAGGTGCGGGAGTGACACAGTTAGCAAAAAAATATGGAGTATCGAAAGCAACAATCTGTAAAATTAAGCGTATAAAAACTCAAATTTTACAAAGAACGTGCAATACATTTGGAGGTCCGGGAAAATAAAAACTTTAAAAAATGCGAAGGCACCTAAAATGGAAAATTCTCTGTATAACTGGTTTTTGAAAGAACGGGAAAATCATGTCCCAGTTAGTGGCGAAGTACTGAAACAGAGAGCGAGACTATTAAATCAAAAACTGAAAGAAACTGAAAATTTCGTAGCTAGTGATGGCTGGTTACAACGATTCAAAACAAGATATGGAATTCGACTGCTGTCTATATCTGGTGGAAAATTATCAGCACAACCACAATTAGTGCAACCATTCAAAGAAAAATTGATGAAAACAATTACCGAGCTAGATTTAAGAATGGAACAAATTTACAACGCAGATGAAAGTGACCTTTATTAGAAAATGTTACCAGAGAAAACCTATGCTGCATCATTTGAAAAACCTGCCCCGGAAAGAAAGCCGGAGAAACAACGAATAACGTTTCTAGCCTGCACTAATGCTAATGGTTCACACAAAATAAAGTCACTGGTAATTGGGAAAGCAAAAAATCCGCGCTCATTTAAAAATGTTAATATCCCTGTTGATTATGACTGTTCAGAAACCGCTTGGATGACTAGCAGTATATTCATGAAATGGTTCCACAGGTGCTTTGCCCATCAGGTATGACAATCAATTATCACAAATGCTCTATTCATAATTTGAAGATGTGTTTTCAATTTGTAGGTAAAAGGTTTCCTAAAACAACAAAAGCTTCCAATAAAAGCGTTGTTACTATTGGATAATACACCAAGTCATCCTCCAGAGCAAAAACTCAGGAGCAGGGATGGGTCAATTTTCGTCATGTACATGCCGCCCAACGTAACACCGTTAATTCAACCGATGGACCAGAATATAATAAGACTCACCAAACTATACTATAGGAAGTTTCTACTTTCGTCTGTCTTATCAAAGAATCCTGAAAACTTATCTGAGGCTTTAAAAAAAAGTAACATTATGAGAAGCTGTTTTAGATTTACATATGGCCTGGAATGAACTTAACCAGCAAACTATTCAAAAATGTTGGAACAATCTCTTTTGTACCAATAATGAAGATGATGAAGAAGACGATGTCCCCTTAAGCGTAATTAGAGAACGTTTGCGATCCAATAATGATAATGTTATTAGTGTGTCATTGGATGTTGTTGATTTATTGAAAACAGTGAATCCCAACATTGTTTGTACTCCTGCTGATATTAATTTATGAACGAAGATAAGCAGACGAGTGATGCTGATAAGGAGGAGGATATGGACAGTGAGGATGATGAGAACGATCCCATTGAAGTCAGAAGTGTAGTGACTGACGCGCAAGCTATAAAAGTTTTTAACCAAGCTTTAGATTGGGCTGAAAGAAAAGAAGTTTCATACACGGATATTTTAGATCTTCGTAAATTACGGGCGCAGGCATTGGAAGACAATGCTAAGCGCAAATTTACGCAGACAAAAATTGTTAATTATTTTTCTTCTAATTAAAAAAATACTTATCGCTGTTAGAATATTTGTTTATTTTGTTATAAATAGTATGTATTAAACGTTTCTTTTAATAAATCAAATATTATATAAGTCACGTTCGCTAATGTAAAAATTTCGATAATGTGAAACACACTTGGATTAAATCAGTTTACATTATCGAGCGTCTGCTGTATTTGCTCGAAAAGTACGAATGCTACATTACCCTAATTTTGTATTCAACATCGATTTAACAATATTTAGGCCTTTATGAAAATATTTTGCAAAATTAATTATTTTTTTTTTTGAAAAGTTGGTTGCACTATAGTTGCTACATTTTTAAAATAACATAGCACAAAGAGTCGAAAATTATTATATATATGTAAAATAACGTACTATCCCAGGTGCTGTGGAGTTCCCTGCCGGCCGACCCTCCCGACAAAGAGCTGCGCCTGTTCGACGTCCCTTTCAAACCGCCTCCATCCCCCGCGACGCCGCCTCCATTATCGACCTCCCCTATCGTGCGCACGCAGCGCGAGACAGCCTACACGAAAATATGCGCGTTGAGAAGGCAGAGTTCCTCGATTTCGCTCAACAGTTACCAGCAGAGGAAGAGCGCCGAACAAGGCGCTTGGCGGCAGATCCACAGTCTGGACGATTCGATGAGCAAGTCGAAAACGTTGCCGGGAATCAAGCTGAAGCATTCGAGCTTGGATGACGCCGTGCTGAACGAGAGCAAGGAGGTGAGATTCAGGTGTTTCTTAATAATAATAATTTATATTTCTTAAGACAAACAAAGTTTGTATAGAAATTGTCAAGAGAGCATCTATACAGGGTGACAGGTAAATAGGTGTAAAACGTTTTAGGAGGTGATAGTACAGCCGCTTTGCTATCGAAATTAGTATATAATACCATACCCTATATTCAAAGGTTGAAAAGTTATTGAAGATTTAAGATTTTTTTAAAAACAATCCATATTTCAGAGTAAAAAAGTCGAGAGAGAAAAAAGTTGGCGATTAAACATTTTTTTTTGGGGTTTTGGGTTATTATTTCAATAATTAACTATTATAAATTAAAAAAGATTCGAAAACAATACCAAACAACGTATTTATTTTCATTCCGAGGACCTGATCTGGCACGAACACATCTCTTCAATAGCTGCAGCTGCTGGGAAAAAGCTAGGCTATTTGTTTAGGGCTAAGAAGTACTTTTCTCCGCATGACCTTCTCACTCTATACAAGGCCCAGATAAGGCCTAGCCTCGAGTATTGCTCACACATTTGGGGTGCTGCCGCCCCGACTACATTGTCCATGCTCAATGCTGTCCAGAGGAGGGCGGTCCGACTGATCGATGACTCTTCTCTAACAGACAGTCTCGGGACTCTTTCGCACCGGCGGGCCGTCGGCGATCTAGCTCTTTTCTATCGCTACACCAACGGGCTTTGCTCCTCAGAGCTCTCTTCTATGATGCCGCCGCGCGATGTGCCTGCCAGACAGACCCGCCTGACTTCTTCGTCCCATCCTAACCGTGTCAAACTTCGTACATCCAGAACTGGCCGATACGACCGCTCCTTTGTCCCGAGGGTGTCTAGATTGTGGAACAAACTACGGGAGGAAGCTTTTCCCAGTTCTACTAACCTTAGGCAGTTCAAAAATCGTATTAACAAAATTTCTTTGGGATCATCATAGCAGCTGCGGTGTTCCGGCATTTAGGCTTCTGCCTGCGCGGCTGTTTCTATATATAAAAAAAAATTCAAAAATGTTTAACTAAGAAAAACAAATAACGTTTTACAGTAAGTAAGGCGTTTTACAAAAAAATCAGTATACAAAAAAACGTACAAACAATTTAAATAATATCCTTGTTTCAAAAGGAATCTAAATTGGTATGATAAGTGCACAAAAACTGTGTGAAACTAAACATAATGTATTGTAATACAACAATAGGGAGTAAATTTACCAAAGGCTTGTCTCCTATTTTCACAACTCTCTGATTGAGAAGAAAGTGTTTTTGTGAAAATAATGTAACTGTAAGCTATGGGATAGTTATTATTTTAAACTACGGTTAAGTTACACGATTAGATTATTTACACAGTTGTAATTGTACTACATAATAATAAAAACAGACTAAAAGTTACTACAATTGGTAAGTAAAATACAATAATGAAATGAAGGTAAAATTCATTGCAATTGTTGTTCGAACTGACGCCCGCCGTTTCTTATGCAAGCCCGTAGTCTTTTTCTCATGATGGTACGCGTGATGCGGCCAGTTAGTTGTCCTCTGATAGTGTCAGCAGCAGCAATAATTCTTTCTTTCAACTGTGCAAGAGTGTCTATGGGCTCAGCGTACACCAGTGACTTCATGTGCCCCCAAAAATAATAGTCACACGGTGTTAAATCTGGGCTCCTCGCTGGCCACGGTGTCGGTCCACCTCGACCAATCCAGCGACAAGGATATTTCTCGTCCAGCCACTGTCTAACACCCAGACGGAAATGCGCGGGACAGCCATCGTGTTGATAGATCATCTGCATCCTGATATTCAGAGGCAGGACTTCGAGATACTCCCAGAGTTCGGATCTCAAAAAGTTTTCATAGGATTCGCCATTCAGGTTGTCAGGCAAAAAAACTGGTTCTTTTTTTTTTTTTTTTTTTTTTTTTATTTCGAAACAGCCGCGCAGGCAGAAGCCTAAATGCCGGAACACCGCGGCTGCTATGATGATCCCAAAGAAATTTTGTTAATACGATTTTTGAACTGCCTAAGGTTAGTAGAACTGGGAAAAGCTTCCTCCCGTAGATTGTTCCACAATCTAGACACCCTAGGGACAAAGGAGCGGTCGTATCGGCCAGTTCTGGATGTACGAAGTTTGACACGGTTAGGATGGGACGAAGAAGTCAGGCGGGTCTGTCTGGCAGGTACATCGCGCGGCGGCATCATAGAAGAGAGCTCTGAGGAGCAAAGCCCGTTGGTGTAGCGATAGAAAAGAGCCAGATCGCCGACGGCCCGCCGGTGCGAAAGAGTCCCGAGACTGTCTGTTAGAGAAGAGTCATCGATCAGTCGGACCGCCCTCGTCTGGACAGCATCGAGCATGGACAATGTAGTCGGGGCGGCAGCACCCCAAATGTGTGAGCAATACTCGATGCTAGGCCTTATCTGGGCCTTGTATAGAGTGAGAAGGTCATGCGGAGAAAAGTACTTCTTAGCCCTAAACAAATAGCCTAGCTTTTTCCCAGCAGCTATTGAAGAGATGTGTTCGTGCCAGATCAGGTCCTCGGTGATCTGGACTCCGACCAGCCGAAATGAATGGCTCTTTGGTAGAACTCGACCGTCCATCGAAACTGTATGAGCGCTAGGACGCTTTTTGTTCGTCAAAGTACATAGTCATGCCATAAGTTCTGTCCCTCGTTTTCAAACAAGTGTAGACCTGTTAATACTTGTCCGATTGTTTACATTGTGGTGTCAGTTGATTAAGCGCTTTTCGGGTAATTACATATACCTCAGTTTGTATTGATCTCTCGAAGCATAACGATGGAGTGGGGCAAGGCAGAGAACCGTATTGCAGTGATAGCTTTACATAAGTGTAATCACAGTGCTAGTCAGATTTTTGAACTCTTACGCGGCCTTCAAATATCGCGTAAATTTGTGTCTAGGACCATTCAGCGGTACAATGAGACGTCCTCTGTTGATGACAGGCCAAGAAGTGGAAGACCTCGTCAAGTAAGGACTCCAGCAGCCATCAAAGCCGTAAAAGCCAGGATTCAAAGGAGTCCACTCCGGAAGCAGAAGATCCTATCCAGGGAAATGAAGATTCCTGTCCGGACGATGTCGCGCATCATTAAACAAGACCTAGGGCTAGGGGCTTACCGGAGACGTACGGGCCAGCGACTTACGGCCACCTTGCGACACATCAGGGCGACAAGATCCAAGAAGCTCTTGGAGAGGTACGCAGCTGGGGGATTCCGAAAGATTTTGTTCACGGATGAGAAAATCTTCACCATAGAAGAAAAATTCAACCGACAAAATGACAAAGTGTATGCAAGGAGTTCACAGGAAGCTTCGGAGATCATTCCGAGAGTTGAGAGAGGCCACCACCCTGCGTCAGTCATGGTTTGGTGGGGGGTGTCCTACGAAGGGGTCACTCAGCTCCATTTCTGTAAACAGGGCGTGAAAACAAAAGCGGCAAACTATCAGAGCGACATACTGGATCCTATCGTCAAGCCTTTAAGTGGTACATTGTTTGCCAACCAACACTGGGTCTACCAGCAGGATTCCGCCCCCGCTCACAAGGCTAAGAGTACGTAGCGCTGGCTGGAAAGCAATGTGCCAGAGTTCATTGCTGCGGAAGATTGGCCCTCAGGGAGTCCGGACCTCAATCCTTTAGACTACAAGTTGTGTGACCTGCTAGAGCAGTTGGCCTGCTCCAAAGCCCACCGTAATATCGAGTCCCTGAAAGCGGATTTGATCCGATCAGCGGCAGCTATTCCTTTGGAAGCTGTGCGTGCAGTGATAGATGAGTGGCCCGCGAGATTGAAGCAGTGTGTGAAGGCCAAGGGGGGACATTTTGAATAAAACTGTTTGATTATGAATTCTAAAAATGTTGTCGAATAAATAATATCTTTCATATAAATATATCTTATCTTGTTTCATTTTTATCATGAGATTATCATGGGACAGAACTTATGGCACGACTACGTACAGTACTGTGTTTTGGAAGCATTGAACTGTACAAGATTGTTGCGTCCCCAAGCAGTGATAGCCTCCAGGTCTCTTGTCAGAGAAGAAGTCGTCGCTAGTCTTCTTTTTTCCAGCTCAGCGGCAGAGATCGGCTTGTCACTCTGAATTCCTGCATGTAGAGTGCTGTCATCAGCGAAGCTGTGGATTGGGTTGATCGTGCAGGAAAGGAGGTCGTTGATATGTAAGAGAAACAGTGTTGGAGCCAAGACCGATCCCTGGGGAACACCGGCGTTGACGTTGTGGGATGAAGAGGAGAATCCGTCAATTACGACGGATATCTTGCGGCCAGAGATAAAGTCAGCCACCCATCTGCAAAGCTTTTCTGGGAGGCCGTAGGATGGAAGTTTGCTTAAGAGGGCAGCGTGCCACAGCTGATCGAACGCTTTCGTGATGTCAAGAGCAACGACATGAGCCTCACCATGAGACTGGATGAGTTTACTCCACAGTTGCGTGACGTAAGCTAGGAGGTCCCCTGTGGATCGTTGGTGCCGGAAACCGTACTGCCTGTCGCTAATCAAGCTGTGACGTTCGAGGTAGTCCAGAAGCTCGCGATTTATGCACCTCTCCACTCGACGTCGGCTTGTCTGTTCTCTACAGTGGGGTTTTGTAAGTAGGTTCTGTGGGCCTTGATCTTCTGCTGGCGAGCAGTGTCACACGATTTGTTGAACCAGCCGTTGGACCCTGGTTTAGGAACTTTCACTGTGTGAGGGATGTATTCCTCCATTCCGACGTGGATAATTTCGGTTATTGAAGAACAGACAGTCGACGCATCCGCGTCAGTGAAACAGACATCTCTCCAAGGAAAGCTAGAGAAGAAGTCTCTGAGCCCCTCCCAGTCGGCATGTCCGTAATGCCAAGTTTTGCGGCCTGTGCGAGTTTCTGCTGCCACAGCGGCTTCTGACCGAAACCTAACCTCCACAACACCGTGATCTGAGTTACCCAGGGGGGACAGGACAGCAGTGCTGTAAGGGGCAGGATGCGTGGTCAGAAAGAGATCCAGCAGGCTACTGGCGTGTGACGAGACGCGGGGGAAAAAAGTAGGGCTCGTCACTAGCTGGGTCAGCCCTTGAGTAAGAGCGAACGCTTCGACTGCACGACCTGCTGCATCGGTCTTATTTGAGCCCAACCAAAGCTCATTATGGGCATTGAAATCACCGAGAAGAACTACCTCTGAAGCGGGGTGATTGATGTTCAGGAAGTCGATCTGGACGGCGAGGTATTCGAGTAGGTCATCCCAGTTATGGTTCGAGGGAGAGCGATAAAGGCAGCAAATAAATTTGGGTGATGTTTTGGAGTTGAGGCGAAGCCACAGAATGTCCTTCCGGTCTGATTCCAAAGAAAGATCGATGGAGCAGGAAAGACTGCTGCGGACAAAAGCCACAACTCCCCCGTTCTTTCCCAGATTGGAGTGCACCTCGTAGTTTGGGAAGTTGAGATGGTTAATCGGTGCAGTCTCTGAGATTTTTGTCTCCGCCAAGAAAAGCACGGCGGGACGATTGGATTGCAGGTAGTGATGAACAGCATCAATGTTGCTGTTGATCCCGCAGATGTTCGAAAAACAAATTTTATCTTCGATGTTGTTCCCTCGAGCCCACCCTCCACCCGGACATTCCGAGAGTGGAGTGAGTTTACGTCCGGAGTTTTTAGTGCTCGAGGGATCCATCATCATTAATTTCTTTGTTTTGGTAGATAACCGACTGCATAGCTTAGGTGTGGAAACATGCGGACATTTATAAGACACCCTGGGAAAAGCTAGCGGGTGGTACTGCCTCGGTCGACTGGTCCTTGTCTACCACCTTCTTTTTACGTGTTAGTGATGTTAAATAGACCTAAAGTGGCCCGTTGGCGGACTTGTACCGCCACCCGGCAATCGGTACTGAGGTATTCCTTAACGCGTGCGCAATCACTTGGACGGGAAGAAGTTGTATACTGGATACAACAACTTCCGGAACAAGCATTTGCCACGGCCCTCGCTCAGTTGGGGGGAGACATTAATTTTATATCATTATAAAGGGAATTGAAAGACCTTTAAAATAAGGTATCACTCGACCCCCCTTTCCATTTGAGATTTTGGGGGTGGTGACACCCCCGCTTAGGGGGCTGCCCGTGCTAACGTGATTTTTTGCCAAACTTGTGTCCCCCTCGGAAACAAAATCGACGGGTCAGCGTTTCTCAAAAAAAAACTGAGCTGCCAGTAAATGCGTCTGTTTCGTTTTCGATGCGCCACCCTGTATAGTGCTTACGTTGATTATGCTTACAAGCCTGAATTTACATTCGCGAAACATTATAAGCGACATCCTTTCAGGACAAATCATCAAACAATCCCGATCAACAAACCAGAACCGCTCCGAAACACAAACCCGGTTCGCCCTTAGAGAAAACCGCAGAGTCGCAAAACAACAGGGTGAATTTGTTACATGCGACTAGAAGAAACGGTAGATTGTCGGCCAGTCTTACGAACCTCTTGAAAACCACCAAGAGCGGCCATTTTAAGGAACTCAGGGAGAGGATAGCCGCAAGCAAACTGTCGTCTTCTTTGAATCAGTTGGATACGCCTCAGATTATCGAGGAGGAAAAACCTGCGGGGAAGAAGATAAAGAATTTGAACGAGTTCCTTAACTTCGGAAGTATCAGGTATGTAGGTAAAGCAATGCAAAACTGTCACTTTTTAACCTTGGTCCGCGAAAATACTGTAGATTTACAGTTTTTTAAATATTCTACAGTTTTTTTTACAAGCTCGTATATAGTTTTTCTCTCGGATGGGATTGGCAACTCTGAGTTAATACAAGACTTCCTTGGCTTAATCACTGCTGATGAGGAACAACAATTTTTAGTATGTTGCGTACAAGAACACATGCAGGTATATCCTGACTATAAAAAAAAATTTGAAAAGAAAATTTAGTAAACAACGTTCTTTTAAAATATGAGATACAAATAAAGCGGAGTTTTTGTCGAGTAAGAATTAGATTTTGAAATGCATACTTGGTTTGCCTATTACGTTTGACCGAAAGTTATCGCAATGTAATTTTTTTTTATTTACTGAGTAGAATAGAAAAAAATTAGAGGGTATGTGTATCTCAATTCGAACTATAATTTGTTTGCCCTTAAAGGCTGGAACACTCTAGTATCCATCTAATTTGTTTTGTTGTTGTTGTTGAAGATTTATTTAGCATTAATGCTACAATGTCAATTTTGTATATCGATTCGGTTACATATTTTGCTTCAATCCATTTTCTGTCATTTTACATTCTTGTCTATTAAAATTAAAATTACGTCACTATGTATTTTGATTATTCATAAAGTGATTTTTCAATTTCACCTTAAACATTTTTAAATTCGAACTCTGTTTAATATCATTATTCAAATTATTACATTCAAATACTCCCTTTTGAAATATAGATTTACTAGTTATTACAATTTTGCAGATGAAAATCTATACTGCCTCTGGTTTCGTAGTTATGATAATGACTATTTAATTTTGTGAGGTTCTCTAAATGTGGTGGTAATAAACTGATTTTTTAATTTGAATATGAAAACGAGAACTAAATAATATATGAAATTTTTCACATCCAACCACTGCAGTTCTTCTAACGTAGACTTAATCCTAGCATATTTGTTTTTATTTAAAATGATTCTCATAGCTTTATTTCGTGTATGTAATTTTGAAAATATGTTTCTATTTGCTGTAAACAAGATGGTTGAACAATATAAAAAATTTAGAGAAGAATTGTAGGGTTTTTTTGAAATACATACTAAGATTATGTTGAACTAGAAGTAATTTATCTTTTTCGATATTTTTGAAATAATGTATTCATAATGTTCGTGAAACAGTAGTTTACTATCCAAGATATTTAAATGACTGGACTACTTCAATTTTTTCATCATTAATCATGAGCCTAATTGTATTGTCAATTAAATCTTTCCCTATTGGCATACATTTTATTTTATTAGTGTTTAATTTAAGTTTGACATTTAACCAATTCATAATTTTTTCTAAAGCAGTGTCCAAATGCTTATGTGCTATATATACAGGGTGTCCCAGAAGTCGACGTCAAGCCGAAACCGGGTGATAGGCAAAGTTATAACAGCAATCAGAAGAATATTTAAAAAAGTTTTATGTATGTGTTTTGAAAATTATAGGTCTATGAAAAAAAAATATAGAAATTTCACACCCTACGGCAGTCTGTCAACTCCTGTTACTACAAATATTAACTGATGAAAATTTTTCAATATTTCCTAATTAAACAGCGATTATGAAAACGCACAAGGACCCTTAAGGATAACTGTTTGCACAACAGTGGGCGTCAAAATGCTGCTGATGATGATTTACCTTTACAGCAAATGCTCAAACTGTTTTCCTTCAGCCGCAATACACGCTCGACATCTTCTTAAAAAAGATCGGGTTATTAAACGAGCGAATCCACGGTTATTAACAAACTCAGCTGCTTCCAATAGTCTTTACCGTAGCTCAGCTACATTTTGAATCGGCTTGAAATACACTTTTTCTTTTACAATTCCCCAGTAAAAAAAATCTAACGGATTCAAATCTGGTGACCGGGCTGGCCACGGTATTGTACCAGACCGCCTTATCCATCTGCCTGGAAAGTTTTGATCGAGATACTCTCTCACTGAGAGTGCATAGTGCGCTGGGCAGCCATCATGCTGAAACCACATGTCCCTGTAAATACTCAGTGGCACGTCCACCAATAAATTTTGTACATGATTTTTCAAAAAATCTAAATAAACTTCAGCAGTCAAAGTATCTGGGAACTCAAACGGACCGATTATTTTACCATTTAAAATTCCTGTCCAATGGTTTATCTTGAAGCGATATTGAGATTTATCTTCTCTCATCAAATGTGGGTTTGCTACGTGCCACTCGTGTAAGTTATGCAGGTTCATGTACCCATCTTTCTTATATGTGGTCTCATCTGACCATAAAATTTTTTCAAAGAACCGTGGATCTTCCCTGTGTCTTTCTAACATTATGCGACAAAAAGCAACTCGGGGCTCATAATCCCGGGGCAGAAGAGCTTGAACACGCTGTACGTGGTATGGATGGAGCACGTTTTTTTGCAAGATTCTATGGGCTGTACTTTTGGGCACACCTGTTTTTAGTTATATTGCACGCACTGCAGTACTCGGGTCTTCTTCGACAGCTCCTAGCACCACGTCTTCGTAAGGAAGGAAAGATCTTCCCTCACCGTGTGATTAGTGTGGTAGTTGGCCCTCTGAGAATAGTAAGCGGTGCACATTTGTGAACACTCGATGATCTGGATGACGAACTGCATTCGGGTACCTTTCACAGTAAAGTCTCGCTACAGCACTAGCGTTGCATCTGCATTCCCCATAAATGAGGTGCATGTTAGCATATTCTGGTACGGTGTACATGGACATAGCGGCACTGCACAATCACACTATCAAAGATAGTCTAAGGAAAGCAAGTGTTGTTTTGAAGAGCAATTAAACAGTCCAAATCCAAATCACAAGCGATCAACAGTCCAGTTCACGAATCCAAAATTAGTAACAGTACGAAATCAACAAGCACGAACATGTAAAGATGCGCAGTAAACGAAGAAGTACTGATCGGTATCAAAGTGTGCAATAGCAAGTAAGTGATGTGCTTCATCCGTACCACATACAGCGTGTTCAACCTCTCCTGCCCCGGGATTATGAGCCCCGAGTTGCTTTTTGTCGCGCAATGTTAGAAAGACACAGGAAAGATCCACAGTTCTTTGAAAAAATTTTATGGTCGGATGAGACCACATTTAAGAAAGATGGGTACATGAACCTGCATAACTTACACGAGTGGCACGTAGCAAACCCACATTTGATGAGAGAAGATAAATCTCAATATCGCTTCAAGATAAACCATTGGACAGGAATTTTAAATGGTAAAATAATCGGTCCATTTGAGTTCCCAGAGACTTTGACTGCTGAAGTTTATTTGGATTTTTTGAAAAATCCTGTACAACATTTATTGGTGGACGGGCCACTGAGTATTTACAGGGACATGATGGTTGCCCAGCGCACTATGCACTCTCAGTGAGAGAGTATCTCGATCAAAACTTTCCAGGCAGATGGATAAGGCGGTCTGGTACAATACCGTGGCCAGCCCGATCACCTGATTTGAATCCTTTAGATTTTTTTCTGGGGAACTGTAAAAGAAAAAGTGTATTTCAAGCCGATTCAAAATGTAGCTGAGCTACGGTAAAGACTATTGGAAGCAGCTGAGTTTGTTAATAACCGTGGATTCGCTCGTTTAATAACCCGATCTTTGTCGAGCGTGTATTGCCGCTGAAGGAAAACAGTTTGAGCATTTGCTGTAAAGGTAAATCATCATCAGCAGCATTTTGACGCCCACTGTTGTGCAAACAGTTATCCTTAAGGGTCCTTGTGCGTTTTCATAATCGCTGTTTAATTAGGAAATATTGAAAAATTTTCATCAGTTTTTTTTCAAATAAAAATTGTGCATAAGTTAACGAGTAATCTTCTAAGTGTTATACCATTTTGGAATCGTTATTAAATTTAAGGTTACTTGCCAAACTCTCGTAATACTTTTTTTCCAGTACAGCCAGTTGAGCAAAGTTTTACTTTGGAATACTTGGTTGGGAAATAAGTGTCAATTTTTCCTGAACGAGAAAAGTTGGCAGTAAGGTTGAGACACCAGTTTGAAGATGCATTATTCATCATTACATTGTAAAAATAGAATCCAAAAAAAGTTAATATTTGTAGTAACAGGAGTTGACAGACAGCCGTAGGGTGTGAAATTTTATATATCTTTTTCAAAGACCTATAATTTTCAAAACACATACATAATTTTTTTTTAAATATTTATATTTATATCTGATAGCTGTTATGACTTTGCCTATCACCCGGTTTCGGCTTGACGTCGACTTCTGGGACACCCTGTATAAGTATATCGTCCGCAAATATTTGAATTTTGCAGTGTTCTAAAATGTCAGAGATATCATTTATATAAATAATAAATAGTAACGGCCCTAATTTACTCCCCTGTGGTACCCCTACTGATATATTTTGAACACTTGACATCATATTTCCAACTTTAGTTTATTGACTTACTTCACTAAATAATTTTGTAAAATGTGTAATACTTATTCCTTTAAAGCCATAGTGACGCCATTTCATTAACAATTTTTCGCTATCTATAGTCTCAAATGCCCTTTCGAAGTCTACAAATATTGTTACAACATATTCTTTCTCATCTATACTTTTTCTCCAGTCTTCCACCACCATTTGGATTGCCGTTTCTGTGGAACATATTTTTCTACATCCAGCGTGATTTTTTATCAAATTTTAGTTTCTTCAATGAATTCTATGATTTGTTCGTATATTATCCCTTCAAACAGCTTCTCGACATCGGGCAAGACATTAATCGGTCGCATATACAAATACAGCTGAGACTTTTGAAATTTTGGCACAGGAGTAATGGTGGAACACTTGAATTTTGATGGGAATTCACCATGTACTAAACAACGAATCACCAATAATTATAATTTCTCTCCAATTATATTGAATATTTTTTGAGAGATTCCCACTTGGATGTTTTCTTTCACATCTAAAATTTCCAGCTGAAAAGCTTGACGGTGTTCCTAAAATATTCTTTCAGATTCCGCCAAGTAGAAGACAGAATCGGCAACAACACCAGATCCAACACGCGTTCCACCTTGTACTCGGACAGATCCAGGATAAGCAGCAACAGCGACAGCAAATTTTCTCTAAACAGCTACGACGACACCACGTTGGACGAAAGCAGTCCGGAAGATTCTCAAGACCAAACCTCGTTTGCTGCAAGCATTACGAACGAGTTGAAACTCCAGTTGGAAAACCTCGACAGGAAAGTGTTCGGTGATAAGTACGTGGAGAACGAAAAGTTATGCAGGAGTGCCGAGATTAGCAGGGATGAGGTTTTCGTTTGGGAGAATCCGCTGTTACCTAAGGATACCTCCAAAACGCCTGACGAGGTGTTCGGCTCCTTCACCAAAGAACAGACCAAAGATATCCAGGGGGAGGTTGGACTTCCTATCACCAATGCAGGTGGGAGATTTTTGTAATTATCGACGCATTTAAAATATCTATCATGTGTATTTTTTTTTCATTCCCATGTGGACCTAAACTTCTTTAGGTGTTGTATGTCTATTGTAATAATATACATAAATAAACATTATTATTGTTGTTTGAAGAATTCTACCGGTGGCGCTTAAAAGGAACGATATTCGCGCCATCTATGGGCAGAACACAAAATTAATTTAGAAAAGAGCCAATGTTTCTTTTTGCAGCGTGAAAGGATACCCACAATCACACGACTTAACGGGAGCAGTCACAGTAAAAAAGAAACGGTGTTTCAACTATAGTAAAACCAATTTTTTCAAAAAATGTTTTTTGTTTGTTTGTTGAAGATTTATTCAGCATTAATGCTACAATGTCCATTTTTTCTAGGGCCTTCCCCGCTACCGAACGCAACCTTGTCATCCGCGACGCCGGCGACGTCTACCGCTCACATGACGAACTCGTGCGAAGAAGTGACCGAAGCCATCAAAACGTCAAGTCAACTGCCGTCTCCAAACGAATTCGGCGGCGGCAACCCTTTTCTAATGTTCCTCTGCATCACGCTCCTGATGCAACATCGCGATCATATCATCGGCAAAGGCATGGACTACAACGAGATGGCCATGCATTTCGACAAGATGGTCAGGAAGCATAACGTCGTTAGGGTTTTAAACCAAGCTAGGCAGATGTATGCTAGGTAAGAATAGGAGTAAGGTGACATCTGAATCTTATCCTACATTTCACTGAAAAAACGTTCTTTGTTGTAAACTTTTCGGTCACAACGGTAACCTTCTTCAGTAAAATGACTTTGACAATATGTTTTGTTTATCTATCTTCCAGGTGACGCTCGTTTGCTTGAAAAGAAAATACAAACGGACAAATAAATAAGGTCTTTAACAAGATTCTCGATCATCGTAAAGCCTTTAAGATCGTGGTCAAGGTCACGTTCAAGGTCACCATTAGATGGACCTTTTGATACCTTTTTTGGACGTCCTAAAATGATCTTGAAGGTCATGTTCAAGATCATGCATAAGGACTTGAGTCTGAAACTTCAAGCTCCTTACATTTACGATATCAAAAATAGGGGTTTCCATTTAAAGTAGTTCTTGACCTTCGAATGACCTTAAAGGTCATATTCAAGGTCAAGTTCAAGATCGCCATAAGATAGACCTTTTGAAACCTTGCAACTTTGCTCTGCTACATTTCTTTCTTGGTCTTTAACAGGCTTCTCGATCATCGTAAAGTCTTTAAAATTGTGGTCAAGGTCGTGTTCAGGATCCCTATTAGATGCCACTTTTAAAACCTTGCAACTTTTCTCTGCGACTTTTTGTCTTGGTAACTATATTTTTCGAAAGATTTTGTTCCATGTAAAGTAACTCTTGACCTTTGAATGACCTTAAAGGTCATACTCAAGGTCACGTTCAAGATCACCATTAGATGGACCTTTTGAAACCTTGCAACTGTGCAATATTTCTTTCTTGATTCCATATTTTTCGAAAGATTTTGTTCTCTCCATACCTTTAGGACGTTCTAAAATAATCTTGAAAATCATAGTCAAGGTCATGCACAAGAATTTAATTGAACATAAAACTACCCTCAATTTACATTTGCCATATCAAAAATAAGGATTTCTATTTAAGATAACTGCCTTGACCTTCAAATTACCTTAAAGGTCATAAACAAGGTCACGTTCAAGATCACCATTAGCTGGACCTTTTGAAACATTGCAACTTTGCTTGATAACATGTTTAGAAAGATTTTGTTCTCTCCACACCTTTTGGATGGCCTAAAATGGTCTTGAAGGTCATAGTCAAGGTCATGCATAAGAACTTGAACCTGAAACTTCAAGCTCTTTACATTTACGATATCAAAAATAGGGGTTTCCATTTAAAGTAACTGCCTTGACCTTTGAATGACCTTAAAGGTCACGTTCAAGATCACCATTAGATGGACCTTTGAAACCTTGCAACTTTGCTCTGTAACATTTTTTTCTTGGTACCATATTTTTCGAAAGATTTTGTTCTCTCCACACCTTTTGGATGGCCTAAAATGATCTTCAAGGTCATAGTCAAGGTCGTGCACAAGAATTTAATTGAACATAAAACTTTCCTCAATTTACATTTGCCATATCAAAAATAAGGATTTCTATTTAAGATAACTGCCTTGACCTTCAAATTACCTTAAAGGTCATAAACAAGGTCACGTTCAAGATCATCATTAGTTGGACCTTTTGAAACCTTGCAACTTTGCTCTGCAACATTTCTTTCTTGATAACATATTTTTCGAAAGATTTTGTTCTCTCCACACCTTTTGGACGGCCTAAAATGGTCTTGAAGGTCATAGTCAAGGTCGTGCATAAGAACTTGAACCTGAAACTTCAAGCTCTTTACATTTACGATATCAAAAATAGGGGTTTCCATTTAAAGTAACTGTCTTGACCTTTGAATGACCTTGAAGGTCATAGTCAAGGTCACGTTCAAGATCACCATTAGATGGACCTTTGAAACCTTGCAACTTTGCTCTGCAACATTTCTTTCTTGATAACATATTTTTCGAAAGATTTTGTTCTCTCCACACCTTTTGGACGGCCTAAAATGGTCTTGAAGGTCATAGTCAAGGTCATGCATAAGAACTTGAACCTGAAACTTCAAGCTCTTTACATTTACGATATCAAAAATAGGGGTTTCCATTTAAAGTAACCGCCTTGAACTTTGAATGACCTTAAAGGTCATACTCAAGGTCACGTTCAAGATCACCATTAGATGGACCTTTGAAACCTTGCAACTTTGCTCTGTAACATTTCTTTCTTGGTACCATATTTTTCGAAAGATTTTGTTCTCTCCACACCTTTTGGACGGCCTAAAATGATCTTGAAGGTCATAGTCAATCTCATGTCCAATAATTTGCTTGAACGTAAAACTTCCCGCTCTTTACATTTGCCATGTCAAAAATAGGGATTTCTAGTAAGATAACTGCCTTGACCTTCAAATAACCTTAAAGGTCATAATCAAGGTCACGTTCAAGATCACCATTAGATGACCCTTTTGAAACCTTGCAACTTTGCTCTGCGACTGTTTTTCTTTGCACCATATTTTTCGAAAGAGTTTGTTCTCTCCACACCTTTTGGACGACCTAAAATGATCTTGAAGGTCATAGAGGTCATGCACAAGAATTTACTTGAACGTAAAACTTCCCGCTCTTTACGTTTGCCATGTCACAAATAGGGATTTCTATTTAAGATAACTGCCTTGACTTTCAAATAACCTTAAATGTGATAATCAAGGTCACGTTCAAGATCACCATTAGATGACCCTTTTGAAACCTTGCAACTTTGCTCTGCGACTGTGTTTCTTTGCACCATTTTTTTCCTAAGATTTTGTTCTCTCCACACCTTTTGGACGGCCTAAACTTATCTTGAAGGTCATAGTCAAGGTCATGCACAATAATTTACTTGAACGTAAAACTTCATTTGCCATGTCAAAAATAGGGATTTCCATTAACGTTAACTGCCTTGACCGTCAAATAACCTTAAATGTGATAATCAAGGCCACGTTCAAGATCACCATTAGATGACCCTTTTGAAATCTTGCAACTTTGCTCTGTGACTGTTTTTCTTTGCACCATATTTTTCGAAAGATTTTGTTCTCTCCACACCTTTTGGACGGCCTAAAATGATCTTGAAGGTCATAGTCAAGGTCATGCACAATAATTTACTTGAACGTAAAATTTCCCGGTCTTTACATTTGCCATGTCAAAAATAGGGATTTCCATTAACGTTAACTGCCTTGACTTTCAAATAACCTTGAATGTGATAATCAAGGTCACGTTCAAGATCACCATTGGATGACCCTTTTGAAACCTTGCAACTTTGCTCTGCGACTATTTTTCTTTGCACCATATTTTTCGAAAGATTTTGTTCTCTCCACACCTTTTGGACAGCCTGAAATGATCTTGAAGGTCATAGTCAAGGTCATGCCCAATAATTTACTTGAACGTAAAACTTCCCGCTCTTTACATTTGGCATGTCAAAAATAGGGATTTCTATTTAAGATAACTGCCTTGACCTTCAAATAACCTCAAATGTGATAATCAAGGTCACGTTCAAGATCACCTTTTGAAACCTTGCAACTTTACTCTGCGACTGTTTTTCTTTGCAACATATTTTTCGAAAGATTTTGTGTTCTCTGCACTTAAAATGATCTTGAAGGTCATAGTCAAGGTCATGCATAAAGGCTTCAACCTCCCGGTGTTTGCAATTGCATTGTCAACCATAGTGGTTTCCATTTAAAATGACCTGCAAATGACCTTAAAGGTCATAGTCAAGGACACATTCAAGATCCCCATCATATGAGTCTTTTGAAACCTTGCAAGTTTGCTCTGCAACAACAGAAATAGTGGTTTTCGTGTAAGATAACTGTGATGACCTTCAAATGACCTTAAAGGCTATAGTGAAAGTCAAGTTCAAGGTCACCATGAGGTGACCCTTTTCAAACCTTACAACTATAAGATTTTTAATATTTTTCGAGATATTTTGATGTTTCTATACTTTCTGTCTTCTAGTGGAATATTTTAATCAATATGCTATTTTTTACTGGATGACTTCTCGTTTCCAACAGTTGTCACTTTTTTACATTTTCGCTGTATTGAGGTAAAAAAATGTTAATTTTTTTCAGGTACATTAAGCAACATACGGCGGTTCATCAAAAAGAAGAAAATAGAATTCAGGACTGTTAGTAGCAGTGGAATTTTCATTATGTTACTGTGATATATTCGACTTTTGTTATTGTTTTTTTATTATTCGAAATATATAGGATAATTTTACGGCGCACCTATGTTTTATTTTCCAAAATAAATATCTAAACAATCACTATCCCAATTGCTAATTTACGAATATAAGGAATTACTAGTTCAAAAGTCAATCAATATTATTGAAACTCTTTTTCCAATACATATCTTTAGCATTTGAGGGTTATATGAGGATTACCCCAAAAGTATATAGTATCCATTTTCCATTATGAAATGACGAAAGCAGGGTTACCACACTGTCACCGGATCTGTCAAAGCACATTATTGCCGGATGGATCCCTAGAATTGCTGTTTCTCCATAATGTCTTCCTAATCACAGTTACTCAATGGAAAATGATAGGTTTGGTTCAAAGAGCGAAGGATGCTTTCTATCCACAAAGTGTGTCATTTTCCAGAACATTATATACCTCAAAAATTGCCCAAGTAAAAATCCCCAAATTTAGGTAAAAATCAGCCAACATGGCAACCCTGTCAAAGCACCACTGGTACTCCAGGCGTCGAGTTTCTGGGTCGTTTTTACAGCATTACCGCAGTTTCTCCTGGTAAATAGGCTGAATGGATGAATCAATTCGTAAATAAATAGTTTTTGTACTTTCAATAAAACTATGCAATCTTACTTTTGGTATAATCCTTGTATTTTCGCATCCTTAATAAAAGTGTACACAGATGAAGTATAATCTGTATTTCAAATTAATGTCGCTTATAGTCATAGGTAAGCAATTATTATGGATTTAATGTTGCTTCTACGTAGACACAAGTTATTACGTCGCCATTGCCTTGATCTTTCATTATAAATTCGAACTTGTAAAAGCCACTCGCGAATGGGAATCTACCAAAATCGCCAGACGACACCTCAGCGTCTTTAAGGACGTAGGTTCCCTGAAACAAACAAATACCTAGGTACTATTGCAACGTGCAAGCAGAAATATTGGAAATGGAAAATCTTGGATTTTGCTAAATTGATGTTATACTTTTGTGTATACCAGTGTTGCCGAACCGAAAAAGACGAAATCGGTAGATAGTGTCTTTGGAAATCGGTAGGAGGAAAAAATCAGGACCGTCACGTCACGCAACGCCGTCTACTTGTATGAAAAAAATTATATATTTGTATTGCGCGCACAAACAACCACACATCTTTTCCTGGACAAATATTAAATCATTTATTAAAACTTGGAAAACCCGTGGATATTCATTTTTCCATTCTTGTTTATAAAATGTGAATATTTTTCTGTTTTATCCCTGATTAACTTGAAATCTCAGTACCTGACACTTTAATTTACTTATTAAAAACAATCCAGCTTTGGTTTCCTTATTGCTTGTCCGTACCAATGTATGATTCTACACTACAACGGTAATAAAATTATTCACCTTTTTGATGGGGCACGTCACATGTGGCTTAAGGGAATTCAAAAAACTACTCCAAGGCGTTTTGTCTATGTTGAAAAATCTACAGAAATTCTTTATTGTAAAGGGCCTCATCCTTTCGCAGGTATCCAAAGCTTCACTAGCCGCACACCTCGTTAGTACTGCTTGAACCTAAACAAAAAAAAAACATTCTTAATTCTGTTCTTATACTAATACAGGGTGTCCCAGAAGTCGACGTCAAGCCGAAACCGGGTGATAGGCAAAGTCATAACAGCTATCAGAAAAATATTTAAAAAAATTTTATGTATGTGTTTTGAAAATTATAGGTCTTTGAAAAAGATATAGAAATTTCACACCCTACGGCAGTCTGTCAATTAATGTTACTACAAATATTAACTTTTTTTGGATTTTATTTTTACAATGTAATGATGAATAATGCATCTTCAAACTGGTGTCTCAACCTTACTGCCAACTTTTCTCGTTCAGGAAAAATTGCCACTTATTTCCCGACCAGGTATTCCAAAGTAAAACTTTGCTCAACTTTAACTGGCTGTACTGGAAAAAATGTACTACGAGAGTTTGGCAAGTAACCTTAAAAGTTGGCGCATTTAACAACGATTCCAAAATGGTATAACACTTAGAAGATTACTCGTTAACTTATGCACAATTTTTATTTGAAGAAAAACTGATGAAAATTTTTCAAAATTTCCTAATTAAACAGCGATTATGAAAACGCACAAGGACCCTTAAGGATAACTGTTTGCACAACAGTGGGCGTCAAAATGCTGCTGATGATGATTTACCTTTACAGCAAATGCTCAAACTGTTTTCCTTCAGCCGCAATACACGCTCGACATCTTCTTAAAAAGATCGGGTTATTAAACGAGCGAATCCACGGTTATTAACAAGCTCAGCTGCTTTCAATAGTCTTTGCCGTAGCTCAGCTACATTTTGAATCGGCACTTTTTCTGTTACAGTTCCCCAGTAAAAAAATCTAAAGGATTCAAATCAGGTGATCGGGCTGGCCACGGTATTGTACCAGACCGCCTTATCCATCTGCCTGGAAAGTTTTGATCGAGATACTCTCTCACTGAGAGTGCATAGTGCGCTGGGCAGCCATCATGCTGAAACCCTGTAAATACTCAGTGGCACGTCCACCAATAAATTTTGTACATGATTTTTCAATAAATCCAAATAAACTTCAGCAGTCAAAGTCTCTGGGAACTCAAACGGAACGATTATTTTACCATTTAAAATTCCTGTCTAATGGTTTATCTTGAAGCGATATTGAGATTTATCTTCTCTCATCAAATGTGGGTTTGCTACGTGCCACTCGTATAAGTTATGTAGGTTCAGGTACCCATCTTTCTTAAATGTGGTCTCATCCGACCATAAAATTTTTTCAAAGAACTGTGAATCTTTCCTGTGTCTTTCTAACATTGTGCGACAAAAAGCAACTCGGGGCTCATAATCCCGGGGCAGGAGAGGTTGAACACGCTGTATGTGGTATGGATGAAGCACATCACTTACTTGCTATTGCACACTTTGATACCGATCAATGCTCCTTCGTTTACTGCGCATCTTTACATGTTCGTGCTTGTTGATTTCGTACTGTTACTAATTTTGGATTCGTGAACTGGACTGTTGATCGCTTGTGATTTGGATTTGGACTGTTTCAAAACACAACATTTGTTTTCCTTAGACTGTCTTTGTTAGTGTGATTGTGCAGTGCCGCTATGTCCATGTACACCGTACAAGAATATGCTAACATGCACCTCATTTATGGGGAATGCAGATGCAACGCTAGTGCTGCAGCGAGACTTTACTGTGAGAGGTACCCGAATGCAGCTCGTCATCCAGATCATCGAGTGTTCACAAATGTGCACCGCTTACTGTTCTCAGAGGGCCAACTACCAAACCAATCACACGGTGAGGGAAGATCTTTCCTTCCTTACGAAGACGTGGTGCTAGGAGCTGCCGAAGAAGACCCGAGTACTTCAGTGCGTGCAATAGAACTAAAAACAGGTGTGCCCAAAAGTACAGCCCATAGAATCTTGCAAAAAAACGTGCTCCATCCATATCACGTACAGCGTGTTCAAGCTCTTCTGCCCCGGAATTATGAGCCCCGAGTTGCTTTTTGTCGCACAATGTTAGAAAGACACAGGGAAGATCCACGGTTCTTTGAAAAAATTTTATGGTCAGATGAGACCGCATTTAAGAAAGATGGGTACATGAACCTGCATAACTTACACGAGTGGCACGTAGCAAACCCACATTTGATGAGAGAAGATAAATCTCAATATCGCTTCAAGATAAACCATTGGACAGGAATTTTAAATGGTAAAATAATCGGCCCGTTTGAGTTAACAGAGACATTGACTGCTGAGGTTTACTTAGGTTTTTTGCAAAATCATTTAGAAAATTTATTGGAGGACGTGCCACTGAGTATTTACAGGGACATGTGGTTTCAGCATGATGGCTGCCCAGCGCACTATGCACTCTCAGTGAGAGAGTATCTCGATCAAAACTTTCCAGGCAGATGGATAGGGCGGTCTGGTACAATACCGTGGCCAGCCCGGTCACCAGATTTGAATCCGTTAGATTTTTTTTTACTGGGGAACTGTAAAAGAAAAAGTGTATTTCAAGCCGATTCAAAATGTAGCTGAGCTACGGCAAAGACTATTGGAAGCAGCTGAGTTTGTTAATAACCGTGGATTCGCTCGTTTAATAACCCGATCTTTTTTAAGAAGATGTCGAGCGTATATTGCGGCTGAAGGAAAACAGTTTGAGCATTTGCTGTAAAGGTAAATCATCATCAGCAGCATTTTGACGCCCACTGTTGTGCAAACAGTTATCCTTAAGGGTCCTTGTGCGTTTTCATAACCGCTGTTTAATTAGGAATTTTTTTCTTTTTTTCTTCAAATAAAAATTGTGCATAAGTTAACGAGTAATCAGAAGATTACTTAGAAAAGTGTTATACCATTTTGGAATCCTTATTAAATGCGCCAACTCTTAAGGTTACTTGCCAAACTCTCGTAGTACATTTTTTTCCTGTTCAGCCAGTTAAAGTTGAGCAAAGTTTTACTTTGGAATACTTGGTTGGGAAATAAGTGGCAATTTTTCCTGAACGAGAAAAGTTGGCAGTAAGGTTGAGACACCAGTTTGAAGATGCATTATTCATCATTACATTGTAAAAATAAAATCCAAAAAAAGTTAATATTTGTAGTAACAGGAGTTGACAGACTGCCGTAGGGTGTGAAATTTCTATATTTTTTTCAAAGACCTATAATTTTCAAAACACATACATAAAATTTTTTTAAATATTTTTCTGATAGCTGTTATGACTTTGCCTATCACCCGGTTTCGGCTTGACGTCGACTTCTGGGACACCCTGTATAAGCTAGTTCTAAAACTAGCTTTCTATCCCGCGGTTTTACCCTCGAAACGTGTAGGTAACCGAAATTCCCAACCAACGTCAATTTACTAATGCCATTAAAGATACAAAAATCGAAAGGAAATTTCAAGTACGACTCTGTCATTTGTAAGTATTGTTCAAAGTTTTCTGTAGTCGTTTTAGAATGGACGTTTCATTTTCCCCAAACAAAAAAAAAGAAAGCAACATATGATCTTGAAAAGCGATCTTTAACCACTCGCAAAGCCACGATAGCATTTGGGGACGTGTTAATCTCTTTGAATATTCCAGGAGAAGCAATATGATTGATATGATAGATTTATTCATATTGCACTTACCTCCAAGTCATTCGTAATATCTCGACTTATCACACCAGTGTACGAAATTAACATGTTTTCTTTAACTTTCTTGAGTTTGATATTGCTCAGTTTTGCGAGAGCTTTCGGATACTTGGGACATGCTTGCAGTTTCTTTATCGTTAAGCCCGGCAATTCCTGGAATCAGCACAATCATTTTGAAAACGTTATCTTGGTTCTTCTTATCTTCTTCGTACCGGGGCCAGTTTTTAAGTAAATACTTTTGTATCGCAATCAGGGAAACCATATTTGTAAACGTAAATTGTATCACAAACTAAAATATGAACAAAGTTTGCTTTTGTATGCTTTACCAATTTTCTGAACACCTTTGTCGAGAGGTTACGATTTTTAAAAATTTTACAAGGAATATTGGTAATAGTTTCTTTTGGAAATTATTACTTTTTATATTTTTTATTACTAATTACATTACATTAACATTGAAATTAATAAATTTTACTAAACTAACGAATACTTAACGCCCCGTATAGTCTATGATACACGGCTTTCTCTAGCCATTTGTATGTTACTTAATATTAAAAAGTTTCACTAGTTTTCAACGTTATCACGTTGTTTTAAGAACAGGTTCAATTCTTCCAGCAAATAACCCAATAATCGGAAGGTTGAAAAATATACTCACTTCACTATCATCTACGATGCATATCAAAATAAGACATGACAAAATCGAGTATAAAAAGATTTGACCGCGGCTCATTTTCGATGGTGTTCGCAATACTTGCACACGTCATTTCTCTGTTGAAAAACGAATTAATAAAAACCTAATTAATGCTATCAGCGATATGTGGGATAGCATTTTGAATTTATCTGCGACATAAAATGTATAAATAATTGCCGAGGAACAATAGGCGCAGCCGAGGTTTTAAATAATAGTTATTATGGATAAATAGGAAATGAAACGATCAATTTGGCTTTCGATTGAATAGGATTGAGTGACAATGATTTGCGCAGATGAAAAAAAAATGTGTAACATTGTAATGGCACGTACGAAATTTACGCAAGACGTGAGTTAAATAGAAAACAGTTTTTATTTAGTTTCTTTGTTGATTAATAAAGATGATAGGATGTGGTTTATATGGAGCAAGTGAGGCAAATAATAGCCTCCTTGATTCTTTTAGCTACATACTCACTCATTTCTCGAAATTTTCAAAGATCATTTTGCATAAATGTTTCGTTGAAATCCCTTTTTTAATTCACGATTCTGTTTTCAGAGACCTTTGACTCCAAATAAGTGCATAAAAAAATTCAATGGTATTAAACCGCATGATATAAGAATCAATTCTGATTGCTGAAAGGTGAGTTCATGACCAATAAATGTCGCAATTAAATTGCTTTTTGGTCTCTTGATTTTCAGTTTTTCCATGTGTCATTAAAGGTCCAGGCGTGTGATTGTAGCTGAACTTTAATTCTTGAAATTAATTTTGTTATATACCAAAAGTAATGGAATTTCTGTGTATTTTGTCAAGAAATATACTCTTGAAAAAGATCGTGGTTAGGTCTTTACTGACTTTGAACAACACATTTGCCCTTCACTTGACCTTTAGATGTGACCTTCATCTTATATTTTGATACATTCTTGGACGTAGAATGTTCTATTATTTCAGTTGCTTTAAACAAAATAATAGTTGACCTTGAAAGTGAGGTTTAATGACCAAAATTAAGGTCAGTATTGAAATTCTTGTTAAAAGTTGGTAATTGTCTGTCTTTGAGGTTTTCATCAATAACCCTGCTAAATTTCTAGGAATTTTCCATAGCATACACATTTAACCTTGTCTTGACCTTCAGAGGTGATCTTGATCTTATATTTTGATACGTATTTGGACGTAGAATGTTCTATAATTGCTTTAAGCCAAAAAATAATAGTTGACCTTAAAATAACCTTGAAGGTGAGGTGCAATGGCGCAGCCAAGGTCAATATTGAAATCCTTGTAAAAAGTTAGGAATGGTCCGTCTTTTTTCATCAACAATCCTGTTAAATTTTCAGGAATCTTCTATAGTCTCGTACATTTGACCTTAAGAGATGAACTTGACCTTATGTTTTGATACATGTTCGGGCGTAGGATGTTCTATCATTTCAATTGCTTCAGACCAAAGAAAAGAATAGTTTACCTTGAAATAACCTTGAATGTGAGGTTCAATGTCGAATCCAAGGTCAATATTGAAATCCTTGTAAAGAGTTAGTAATGGTCCGTCTTTGATTGTTTCATCAACAATCTTGTTAAATTTTTAGGAATCTTCTATAGTCTCATTCATTTGACCTTCACTTAACCTTATGTTTTGATACATGTTCGGGCGTAGGATGTTCTATCATTTCAATTGCTTCAGACCAAAGAAAATAATAGTTTACCTTGAAATAACCTTGAATGTGAGGTTCAATGTCGAATCCAAGGTCAATATTGAAATCCTTGTAATCAGTTAGTAATGGTCCGTCTTTGATTGTTTCATCAACAATCCTGTTAAATTTTTAGGAATCTTCTATAGTCCCATTCATTTGACCTTCACTTAACCTTATGTTTTGATACATGTTTGGGTGTAGGATGTTCTATCATTTCAATTGCTTCAGACCAAAGAAAATAATAGTATACCTTGAAATAACCTTGAATGTGAGGTTCAATGTCGGATCCAAGGTCAATATTGAAATCCTTGTAAAAAGTTAGTAATGGTGTGCCTTTGATTTTTTCATCAACAATCCTGTTACATTTTTAGGAATCTTCTATAGTCTCATTCATTTGACCTTCACTTAACCTTAAGAGATGAACTTGACCTTATGTTTTGATACATGTTCGGGCGTAGGATGTTCTATCATTTCAATTGCTTCAGACCAAAGAAAATAATAGTTTACCTTGAAATAACCTTGAATGTGAGGTTCAATGTCGAATCCAAGGTCAATATTGAAATCCTTGTAAAGAGTTAGTAATGGTCCGTCTTTGATTTTTTCATCAACAATCTTGTTAAATTTTTAGGAATCTTCTATAGTCTCATTCATTTGACCTTCACTTAACCTTATGTTTTGATACATGTTCGGGCGTAGGATGTTCTATCATTTCAATTGCTTCAGACCAAAGAAAATAATAGTTTACCTTGAAATAACCTTGAATTTGAGGTTCAATGTCGAATCCAAGGTCAATATTGAAATCCTTGTAATCAGTTAGTAATGGTCCGTCTTTGATTGTTTCATCAACAATCCTGTTAAATTTTTAGGAATCTTCTATAGTCCCATTCATTTGACCTTCACTTAACCTTATGTTTTGATACATGTTTGGGTGTAGGATGTTCTATCATTTCAATTGCTTCAGACCAAAGAAAATAATAGTTTACCTTGAAATAACCTTGAATGTGAGGTTCAATGTCGGATCCAAGGTCAATATTGAAATCCTTGTAAAAAGTTAGTAATGGTGTGCCTTTGATTTTTTCATCAACAATCCTGTTACATTTTTAGGAATCTTCTATAGTCTCATTCATTTGACCTTCACTTAACCTTAAGAGATGATCTTGACCTTATGTTTTGATACATGTTCGGGCGTAGGATGTTCTATCATTTCAATTGCTTCAGACCAAAGAAAATAATAGTTTACCTTGAAATAACCTTGAATGTGAGGTTCAATGTCGAATCCAAGGTCAATATTGAAATCCTTGTAATCAGTTAGTAATGGTCCGTCTTTGATTGTTTCATCAACAATCCTGTTAAATTTTTAGGAATCTTCTATAGTCCCATTCATTTGACCTTCACTTAACCTTATGTTTTGATACATGTTTGGGTGTAGGATGTTCTATCATTTCAATTGCTTCAGACCAAAGAAAATAATAGTTTACCTTGAAATAACCTTGAATGTGAGGTTCAATGTCGGATCCAAGGTCAATATTGAAATCCTTGTAAAAAGTTAGTAATGGTGTGCCTTTGATTTTTTCATCAACAATCCTGTTACATTTTTAGGAATCTTCTATAGTCTCATTCATTTGACCTTCACTTAACCTTAAGAGATGAACTTGACCTTATGTTTTGATACATGTTCGGGCGTAGGATGTTCTATCATTTCAATTGCTTCAGACCAAAGGAAATAACAGTTTACCTTGAAATAATCTTCAATGTGAGGTTCAATGTCGCATCCAAGGTGAATATTGATATCCTTGTAAAAAGTTATTAATGGTCTGCCTTTGATTTTTTCATCAACAATCCTGTTAAATTTTTAGGAATCTTCTATAGTCTCATACATTTGACCTTCACTTATCCTTAAGAGATGAACTTGACCTTATGTTTTGATACATGTTCGGGCGTAGGATGTTCTATCATTTCAATTGCTTCAGACCAAAGAAACTAATAGTTTACCTTGAAATAACCTTGAATGTGAGGATCAATGTCGTATCCAAGGTCAATATTGAAATCTTTGTAAAAAGTTAGTAATGGTCCGTCTTTGATTGTTTCATCAACAATCCTGTTAAATTTTTAGGAATCTTCTATAGTCTCATTCATTTGACCTTCACTTAACCTTATGTTTTGATACATGTTCGGTCGTAGAATGTTCTATCACTTCAAACCAAAGAAAATAATAGTTTACCTTGAAATAACCTTGAATGTCAGGTTCAATGTCGCATCCAAGGTCAATATTGAAATCCTTGTAAAAAGTTAGTAATGGCCTATCTTTGATTTTTTCATCAACAATCCTGTTAAATGTTTAGGAATATTCTATAGTCTCACACATTTGACCTTCACTTAACCTTATGTTTTGATACATGTTCGGTCGTAGAATGTTCTATCACTTCAAACTAAAGAAAATAATAGTTTACCTTGAAATAACCTTGAATGTCAGGTTCAATGTCGCATCCAAGGTCAATATTGAAATCCTTGTAAAAAGTTAGTAATGGTCTGTCTTTGATTTTTTCATCAACAATTCTGTTAAATGTTTAGGAATATTCTATAGTCTCACACATTTGACCTTCACTTAACCTTAAGACATGAATTTGACCTTATGTTCACTTTTGATACATGTTCGGGCGTAGAATGTTCTATCACTTCAAACCAAAGAAAATAATAGTTCACCTTGAAATACCTTGAATGTCAGGTTCAATGTCGCATCCAAGGTCAATACTGAAATCCTTGTAAAAAGTTAGTAATGGCCTATCTTTGATTTTTTCATCAACAATCCTGTTAAATGTTTAGGAATATTCTATAGTCTCACACATTTGACCTTCACTTAACCTTATGTTTTGATACATGTTCGGTCGTAGAATGTTCTATCACTTCAAACCAAAGAAAATAATAGTTTACCTTGAAATAACCTTGAATGTCAGGTTCAATGTCGCATCCAAGGTCAATATTGAAATCCTTGTAAAAAGTTAGTAATGGTCTGTCTTTGATTTTTTCATCAACAATTCTGTTAAATGTTTAGGAATATTCTATAGTCTCACACATTTGACCTTCACTTAACCTTAAGACATGAATTTGACCTTATGTTCACTTTTGATACATGTTCGGGTGTAGAATGTTCTATCACTTCAAACCAAAGAAAATAATAGTTCACCTTGAAATAACCTTGAATGTCAGGTTCAATGTCGCATCCAAGGTCAATATTGAAATCCTTGTAAAAAGTTAGTAATGATGTGCCTTTGATTTTTTCATCAACAAACCTGTTAAATTTTTAGGAATCTTCTAGTCTCATACATTTGACCTACACTTAACCTTAAGACATGAACTTGACCTTATGTTTTGATACATGTTCGGGCGTAGGATGTTCTATCATTTCAATTGCTTCAGACCAAAGAAAATAATAGTTTACCTTGAAATAACCTTGAATGTGAGGTTCAATGTCGGATCCAAGGTCAATATTGAAATCCTTGTAAAAAGTTAGTAATGGTGTGCCTTTGATTTTTTCATCAACAATCCTGTTACATTTTTAGGAATCTTCTATAGTCTCATTCATTTGACCTTCACTTAACCTTAAGAGATGATCTTGACCTTATGTTTTGATACATGTTCGGGCGTAGGATGTTCTATCATTTCAATTGCTTCAGACCAAAGAAAATAATAGTTTACCTTGAAATAATCTTCAATGTGAGGTTCAATGTCGCATCCAAGGTGAATATTGATATCCTTGTAAAAAGTTATTAATGGTCTGCCTTTGATTTTTTCATCAACAATCCTGTTAAATTTTTAGGAATCTTCTATAGTCTCATACATTTGACCTTCACTTATCCTTAAGAGATGAACTTGACCTTATGTTTTGATACATGTTCGGGCGTAGGATGTTCTATCATTTCAATTGCTTCAGACCAAAGAAACTAATAGTTTACCTTGAAATAACCTTGAATGTGAGGATCAATGTCGAATCCAAGGTCAATATTGAAATCTTTGTAAAAAGTTAGTAATGGTCCGTCTTTGATTGTTTCATCAACAATCCTGTTAAATTTTTAGGAATCTTCTATAGTCTCATTCATTTGACCTTCACTTAACCTTATGTTTTGATACATGTTCGGTCGTAGAATGTTCTATCACTTCAAACCAAAGAAAATAATAGTTTACCTTGAAATAACCTTGAATGTCAGGTTCAATGTCGCATCCAAGGTCAATATTGAAATCCTTGTAAAAAGTTAGTAATGGCCTAT